TATCATGATTGAAGAGTCTTAGTAGTTGCTACTGGTTTATGAAATAGATCAAGCGTTTCCCACAGACAGCAAAGGGAAAAATGTCCTGCCTTTAATTAAATGTATACTTGAGCCAAAAATAGATTTAATAACAGGATGTGGCTTTTAAAAGTGTGAGAAAGTATTTCGATTAGAATAATTAATTAGGATAACATAAAAAGATTAACAGAAGCTTTATATGTCACATATATATATAATTAATTTATGAAAGCTCGTCATACAAGGCCCTACCTCTTAAAAGGTTCAGGAGTATAATTGTAAAATAGTAGTACATTACTAATGCATTATTATTTCTATTTTCAGGAAAAAATGCCTGAATGTGAAGTACAGTTGAGGAATGGGGAAGAAAAGCCTGAAGAAGAACTAAAGAAAGAGTCATGTGTGATGCTACTGTTTGTTAGAGGTCGACCATTTCCTGGCAGTCGATGGTTTTATAAAGAAATCATAGAAGAAGCTCTAGACTTCAAGCCACGTGATACAGACATTATAATCAGCACTTTTCCAAAATGTGGCACTAACTGGATGAAGTACATAGTCCACACCATAATCACAAGAGGTCAGAAGCCATTAGAATCATCTCACCAACTGACCTACGAAGCAGTGCCCTTTGTCGATATTAGTGGTGTAGCAGCAATAGAGGCACTACCAGATCCTCGACCTATTCATTACCATTTGCCCTACGACTTGATCCCAAAGAATCCAAATACCAAGTACATATATATTTTCAGAAATCCAAAAGACACCGTGGTTTCCTTCTATCATTTCACAATGCAAACAGACGAGCTCCATGTTACCTTCGATGAATATTTTGAATCATTCATCAGAGGTCTGGTGGCCTATGGAGATTACTTCGACCACGTACTGTCTTGGTACGAACGCCGTCACGATCCGAATGTCCTATTTCTGTCCTATGAACAGCTCCAGGCAGACACCAGAGGTCAAATCTTACGTATAGCTAAATTCATTGGGGAAGAGTACCACAGGGAGCTGGTGGAAGATAAAGCTTTAATCGAAAAAGTTCTATACCTGATAAGCTTCGAGAACATGAAGAAGTCGTTGATGAAGGAAGCTCCCAACAAAAAAGAGTACGAACTAGAATCCAAAGAAATTGAGAGTCCCTTTAACGTACCAGGACCAAGATATGAAGTGAAATACTTGAAATATTTCCGAAAAGGAATCGTAGGAGATTGGAAGAACCATATGAACCCAGATCAGAGTCGACGAATGGATCAGCGAATTCTGGAGAAATTCGGAGGCACTGAAATCATTAACATGTTCAATGCCAAGAAAACGTGGTTGTGAATAAGCAAATGGAAAAGTATTTATAAGAATTCACCGAGTGTCTTAGCAAAGGAGGTCGTCATAGTCATTTGAAATATTTTAGAAGCCTAAAAAGGGAAGTTAGACGCTGAATATTTAAGTGACTTTTAGAACTGCTTAAAGAGAAAAGTTTGAAATAGTTCTTTAGAATATTGCAATGCAATTATATTGTTGTTAGTTAAGAATGCAAGTTCAAGAGTTTCAATTAGTTTACTAAGTAAACTTGATAGAGATTTACATGCTACTAATCGGCATGAAATTCAATTATAGTAATTGGATTTAAATAATGTTAGATAATTTTACGAAGGTACAAGCTTTGTGCTACTTTGATTGTAAATAGTTATCTTTTTGCATTTTAAATATTTTTGAAACAAAAATGAAAGTTTTCTTATTGTTGAAAACATTTATGTAACTTCGTGATAAATTAAATAAATGTAACAGAAATACATTGATTGTGTTTATTTGGATAGCACAAGAAACACTTCAATACATGAAGGAAAAAAAATTTCACTGTATCTTAATTATATTTTAATTGGGCAGATTTTCATATAAAGAGGTTTTAAATGGAAACAATATAACATAATATGGGTAAATATTTAAATCTTTTTTTTTAAATCATTGTTTCAAGCTTTGACTATATATTGATAAAACAGAATATTAAACTAAAGGGAATTTGTTTTTCAGTCTAAATAAAACTATATATTAAAATTTTCTCACATTGAAATTTTTAAAAAAATGTAAATGTAAAATGGGTAAAGTAAAAAAAAAATTTTTAATGATATAAATTTATATCACCATTGACATCAAAAGTTGTATTATAACTTTAAAAAATGGCTTAAGAATAATTAGTTTTAAAATGTTCAGAAGAGAAAAAAAAGTTTTTCCTTGTAACTACAAAATAAAGGTTATCAACTTAGTAACAGTTTTATTTTAATATATACATTTAAAATCAATGAAAAAAGAATAAAATATGTCTCATTTTGTAAATAGAATAAAATATACATCAATCTCCTAAACAGAAAGTGTGTATTAGGAAAAATACAAAAGAAAATGTTAAAATAATATAAAATCATGTGACATTTGACATCAAAAATTGTATTATACATTCAAAATTATTGGTTTAAAAATGTTTGTGTGGTGCTTATTTTATTGACAATGTCAACCTTCATCTATGAAAAGGTATCCCCACACAGACTTGCGTTAACATGTCTTAAATACTAGTGAAATGGAATTGAATAATTGTAGTGGTAGACACGCTACAGTTTGGAAGAGAAAGCAAAAGTATTAGAAAATCATACAAAATATGTAGTATAATTAAATTAAAAGACAAATGAAATAATGGGGGAAAAGTAATCCATCTATTAATTATTGAACTCTTATAAAGCGAGATTATTTTTAATTAAATTTTCGACTTTTTCTTATTGTGCTTTATCATCACAATACTAAAAGTATCACAAGAAAAGCTAAGTGATAAAATGATGATAGAAAATTTCTCCCTATATTATGAATTCATTATTTATCCCTTGGTGAGAAAATCACGACTAAAAAAAAAACAACTTTAAACTAGAATGAAAACTGAATTCACTTATACTGTGAAATCATAATAAGTCTAACTTGTTTACAAAGAGCAACTAAAACTATATATACCCTTATTAGTTTGGAATCGAATTGCTCTCTGATTTTATACACTGCTTTCAAAAATAAACTTAATTGCATGTTTGAAATCTGACATAGTGTTTGTCTGAGTGTAACATGAAAGCAAACATATAAATGCTATACTTGAGTCCTATATTATCTTTTAATTTATGAAGTAGTCATTATGTTAATAGAATATAAGCACTTAGTGATTGTAAAAAAAATTGCTATCAGTACAATTTTATCAACAACAAAAAAAAGATAAAATAATTTGGCATTTTGAAAAGATTAATTGAAACTGTATTTAACTCTTTTTATAATAGGAAACATTTTTTTGCAATGGTAAAAGACTGATGGTGGAAAAACAAAGGTAATAAAGCAAGAAAAATATAACATTATCATAATATTACACATTATTATTATTATTATAAAATGTTTGTATTATTATTAAAATAAAAAAATAATAAAAAAAAAATAAGAAAAAGATAAATAAATTATGAAAAATAAATGATAAAATGCTTAGGCATATTTGTTGATGCTTCAGATATAGGTAATGATTATCCTATTTAGATTTTAGGCTTAGAAATTAATAATTAGAATAAAAACACAAAAATAACTTTAAAACGTTTATTCAATAAAATTGTTTTTAAAATACATATGTACAACTTTTTTTTATTATGTACAATATAAATAGATAAAATACAAGATATAAAAATTTATTGTTCCATTCACAATCAAAACATGTAATACAATAATTAGTAGTAATTCCATTGGTCTCCAAATTTGTCATTGAACCTTTTTCTATCCATTTCATCCAGCTTACTTGCATAATGCTTATACCTACATAAAAGAGAAACATTTATTTTATCATGAACTAGAAAATCTCAATGGCTGGGTGCATATATCTTTACAAGAATATTAAATGTAAACTTTATCATAAAAATAAAGTTTAATTTAATAAATAAAAATTAGAAATTATATTCATAAATTTAAACCATAATAACTTATTACTACCAAACTTCCAATTAACAATAATGGGATTTTAATTGCATTTGAAAATATATGCTAGTTAGTTTATTCACAAATGTTATACAGTTGTAATGAGACCTATTGGAAAAATAGACGAATTATAAGATATCAAAAATGTTTCAATTTGCAGTAATTATTAATATGTATTCAATAGTTATATATATATTTTTTAAAATTTGAAAAGAAGTTAAAAGCAAACATTTAAATGAGATAAAAAAAAATAATACTGTAAAAAAAAGTTAAAAAAAATATTTTTGGCAGCATTTAAACAACATTGTTTCAAATAAAATTAAATATGGAAGAGCATACTTTATATTAATTATATACTAATCATTATATTAATTTAAAGTTTAAATTAAATTTCATTGTTTTACATTAAAATTAAATTTCCACTTTATAATTAATATTACAAAATAAGAAAGTATTTTGTTGTAAATTAGTTTTTATCAATATTTTCATACTGTAAAATATAATCTATCAGGGAAAAAGAAAAAAAAAACTATATTATTGAACTAGTGTTTACTTTTGTAGTAAATATATTTCATAGCAAAAAAAGTCAAAAAGAAAAAAAAGTAATTTAAACACTAATCTCATCAAATTATAAGCACCTGAAATACTTTTTTTCCCTCTAATATAATTGATAAATTTTAAAGCTTAAATATATTTAGAAATTAGATTAATTAGGGCCTGAGTGCATATTTTAATTCCATTTTATCTAAATATTCATTATTTTAAAATATTCAAACTTAGAGCTTTTTTTTGCTGATAAAAAGATGCTATTGTATAGTAATTTAAATTATCCTCCTCAAGAGTTTGACTATTGAACATGGAAAAAGTTGTATATAATAAGTTAATCTCTTATAAGCTCTTTGAAGTCCAAGTCCCGCCCATGAGCATTCATAGTTTATAGTCAACAAACATGAAAACTGGAAGATGATGGAGAAATTAATTTAACTTTAATGTCAGCTTAACAGCACAAGAAATATGACAGCTTATTTTATTTCACACTTCTAAATTTGAAAGTGAATATTTCATAGTCCTAATTTATGTAGACTACGGAATCAGTGAAGTCTCATTTGTTGAGAGGAATTAAGAGTCAATATCAAGTAAGGCAGATTCAATTGAATTTATCCATTAATTTTGTTGAAAACAAAGATTTCTGCAAAGCTTGAAAAAGTGTAAACTTGCTCCATAAAAACAGAAGCATAAGTTCAAATTAAAAAAAAGTGTAATTTTTTGTGTCATTTGAAATAAATCAATATAAATTACGCACAACTTCTTATTATAAAATAAAAACATTATTTCCTTGATATTGAAACATTATTTGTGCTTCCACTCCTTAAAAGAAAATTTTTTAAAGCTTTTAACTAAAAGAAAACTTTTTCTTTAAGAATAATAATGGTGAATTAACAATAGTTTACTTTCATAATTTCTTTTAAAAGTTCTTGTCACTACTAAAGAAATTTCTCTCTTTTTAATAAAAATGTAAAAGAAAATTGATAATATATCACTTTAATTTCATTTAAAAATTAGCCTTTTACATTATCATACGAAAAGAATTATTTATTTATTTATTTATTATCATTATTTTTTTTAATGCAAAATACATAAATTACCCTTTTACGACTTTCTTTGATAATCTTTCTCTAACATTATTATTTTTCTTCTTAATATTTGTTAAGCCACATTCTTTCTTTTTCCCTCTTGCTTTCTTTTGTGGAATTTTCAAGTTGACACCAGTAGCAGCTTCAATATCTTTGAGCAAACTAGGATCTTGCCAATCAGGAACTGAAATAAAATTGAAAATATTAACATTACCAGTAGAAGAACAACAACAGATCTTATCACAAAAAATCGAAATTAATTTTCAAAAATAATTAGGAAGCAAAGAGAGACCTTCGAGTTTTTATTGCAAAAAATGTTGGTATATCACCCATGGACCTTTGCCTCTATTATCAGATCAAAAACAGATGAGCATAAATTAATTTATAATCTTTTGGACATTTTGAATAACTTTACTGATAAATTTGAAAAAATGCCAAGAAATATTGCATTGACTCAAATAGTGTTTTCAAATCTTAAATCTGAATAATTAATACCATACTATAAAATGATTTTGAATAAAATCGTTATTCCTTTATCCCAGACTAATATATGCTCATAAATATTTCACCCTTATGCTACTTGAGCTGAGAATGAAAGCATAATTAATATTCTGTTAATATACATCTGCATAATCAATTAAAATTTTATTGAATTTATATTTCTGAATTAGTTTCAGTGTGTCTTGAATACATAGAGAGAGCTCTGGTTTAAAGAAGCATTTATATTATTCATTAAAAATTAAATACAATTTCGTTACCTTTAGGTGCCGTACTAGTACTTGGCCCTGGTGTGCTATCAGGAGAGTCAATTGGTTTTCCATCAGCATCCCGTTTAACAATGATACCATGGAAAGGACACTGACAAAGAAATATATTTTAGAATTTTCCCTGAGTAAGACTGACTTATAAACATAGAGAAATCAAAATACTTTTTACAATCAATGTGATACTAATAAAGTATGAATATATAATTATTAAATTTTAAACATGTTACAAAAAATGTGTGATTATTGACTTTTTTCATGTTTATTGTTTGATACTTTAAAGTTTGATTTTAAAAAGTTTATAAAACAGGGATAGAAATTGAGAAACTTCAGTCGGTTAAACAAGGAGTCAGTAACTAAAAGATATAACTGGTCCATTTACATTTTCTCTGATTTATTTACACGTCTCTATGAAATTACTTTATTTTTAAAAAAAGTTAATAAACTAAATTTAAATTAAAAAAATTTCTATACAGAGTATATGTAATATTCACACTTATGATGAAAACTAATATTTTTTGACAAAATACAAATAAAAAAAAATAAACTCAAAATAGCCTCCTATCCCTTTCATCTAATTGCTAATTCTGGGGACCACTGATCATTATTTAAAGGTGGTCTCAGTCAAATTTTATGGGCCTGGACAAACACACCAGTGTAAATTTCGAGATCTGTAAAAAATAATTTGAAACAATATCAAACATATCAAAAATTTTATCGTAATTTGTCCTGCTTTAGGATAAAAAAATAAAGTTCAATATTTATAATATTTTTAGAAAAACAAAACTTTAAAAGTAAACATTCATATCTTCAAAACGATTCATTATATAGTGGATAGAGTAAGATTTAAAAGTTTATAACTAACATTAAAAGTTTTTCCCAACAGGTATATTTTTAATTCAATCAACAATTTTATCAAATAGAACTTGTCTGCCAAAAAGGAACCAATAATAACTTGCAGAATAACTTAAATTTAGTAAAAGTATTGACTTGAAAAAACAAATTAGAAAAACTTATTAGAAAATTTTTTTTACTTTTTTTAAATGCCTATTAGTGTTATAAAATTTGTATCATAACAAAACAGAAAAAATACTGGTTTTATAATTCAAAAAAATAAATAAATATATAACAGTTTTACTATTTCAATTTCATTTCACACTGGCTAATTCTACAAGAAAAAAAAATATTTTCAGGCTTTGTACTGGGTAATTAAAACTTCTAACAGTTTCCAGCGTAACTTTATCAATACAGAATAACTTATAATAGTTTCAATCAATGCATTAAAAAATAACCAATATTAATTCGATAATATTCCTTCATACCAATATTTAATTATAGTTTGTAATTACATTCAAAACATCTTTTATCAAATAATTTCATAGTAAGGTTTCAATAATTTCAAAACAGAAACACAGTCAATATACCGCTTTACTTTTTTGCATGAAAGTAATTTAACAGATGGTCCCTCAATTAACCATTTAAAAATTCTAAGATACAATTACTACAATGTGTATTGTTATAAATTCATTTTAATATAAGATGAAAAAAACAAATCAATAATGCTGAAAATAAAATACTCCATTTGTTACTACATTTGCAGAAAATAATAAGCATACGACTCTTGAATTAATCAAATGTAATTAATCAAATTAATCAAAAATGAATTCTGTGAGTAAGGCTATATGTCTAAACTAAGTACGTGTTTGTAATTAGTGAACAGTTCCTAAGTTTGAAGTATTAAATTTTTGCTATTTTTACTAGCATTATCAATTAAAGTTTAAAAAAATGTTGGATTAATCCAAATCTTAAGATTCTTTAAATTGGTTGTATAAATTCCAAAGTTGCCTTTGCAGAAAATGGGATGGTCTGAATACACACAAAAATCAGGAATATCAAAGCAAAAAGCTAAAAATCAAAACCAATAAGGTCAAAATATTTTTTATCGGGAAAAACAGGAATATAAGGGCAACTACGAAACCTGTATTTTACACAACTTTATTTAACAAGCCTACAAGTACTGTATTAAACCAACAAAATGAAAAAGTGACGAACAAAATAACAATCTAAAATTACTTACCTTAACTCTGTCTTTCCTAGGACATAATTTTCCACTAGGTAAAGGAGCTCGGCAAGCAAATTTAACAGGTTCAAATTTTCCACTGAAATCTATTTTTCTAGTTCTCATGCTTGCGATTTGAGCCTGTTTTTAACATAACATAAAATTAATACCAATTCAAAATTCTTCCACAAAATATATAAATTGTTTAAAAACAGGTTCTATATTTAAAAATGTTTAAATTTTCAGTTGTATAAACTAATTTTAGTGCTTTCAGTGAAACAGTAACTTACTTGCATAATACAATATTGAAGGTTCTCGTCATTAGCAATTGAATATTTAGGACTGGTGAGCATTTTGTAAAAAGCAGTGTTACAAATAAAATTACCATATTTTGATTTGAAAGAGCAACGTTTGATCTAGGTATATATTGATTAGACCCGAGATGCGTGTGTTTGTATTTACAAGCTCTTTTAGTTCGAAGTTCTTTTAGTAGAATGATGGCAAGCAAAAATTTTGATCTGGATATTATTTTTATAATTGAAATTTCATGCCCTGGAATATGTATGCCTATAACAGGTTTCTTTTCCCTTTTAATGCATGTGCAACTCTCTTTTACTATTAGATAGCATAAAATAAATAAAATAATAACTAAAAAATTTTAACCTCTCTGAGAGCTTCATTTTCTTCTTGATCATCTTTAGTCAACCAAAACTTGTCAAGGTCATACCTTAAAAATTCATCAAAGTCAAACATAAAAGTTTAATTACATACAATGAAAGTTTTTTCTTATAATGGCAGCATTTTAAAAAAAATACAGAAGGTTAAATAGATAAAGATATAAGCTATGAATGAATTTTTATAAAATTTTGAATTTGAAACTCGTTTGTGAATATTTATTTAATTGTAAGAAGAGAATTCTAAACAAATAATAAGTCAAATATTTAGAAAAAATTTGAAATGTGAAAAAATATTAATAAGATATTTAAATATGTTAAAAAGTCACAACATTGTCAATAAAACTGTAGACAATTTTTTTCAAACAATGAAATTATTGTTTCCTTAAATAAAGTAGCAGAACAATGCATAAGAATAGCATTAATGATACTCAATGAAGTACCAAAACATGTGCCTATTTTACTTGCATTAATTTTTCTCTTAAATGGTGTCCATTTTTTTCATATATAATTATTGCAACACAGAAATAGCTTGCTTATATTTGGGTAATTTTTCTCTTACAAAAAAAATTAGATTCTCATAAGAACAATGTTAAAACATATTTCATTTAATGAGCATCCAAACATTTTCAATTAATTGTGTAAAAATTCACATTTGAGTGCAAAAAATTTACAACTAAGAGACAATTTTGCAATCAAATAACTAAGCAGGATAAATGAAAGCAAATAAAATATAGAAGCAAAGGAAAGAATGCTGTATGATAGCAGTTTTAAAAATATCTAGATAAATGTAACATTATGTGTATCAAAAAAGAAACTGACAAAGAAATATTGATGAACAACATACCAATCAAAATAAAAATTAAGGAAGAAACTGAATGTATGAATATTATAGATATGTTCAAAGAATCTACAAACTAATTTACTCACAAAGTACTACTACTTTTTAAAAATTGAAAACTGGTTGCAGACTTTTACAAGTTATAGTTAATAAGCACAATAATAAGCGTTTAATAAGCATTTAAATCTAGACACATGTAAATTAAATATTATTATTTAAATTATGAGTATTTTTTTAGAATCTTTTGCATACTGTTTGTTTGTGATTCTAATATGAATTTATATTCAGTGTAAGAATAAAATATTCAGTAAATTAAAAAATATAGTTGTTAATTAATTAGTCACTTACAGCAGATTTAAATCGTCATTATTTTATAACAGAAGTAAATTTAAAAGCATACTTTATTAACAGATGTAACACATTTTCATAAACTCAAAGTTTAGTAAACAAACTAAAAATGTTATTAAATAAAATTGTGGGAACTGATCTTGGTCTATAATGTGTATAAATTGATCAAATGTTATTAATATGTCATTAATAACTGCTTTAAAATACAACACATGATTTATAAGCAACTTGTTATATCATCTAGACAAGAACTTTGTATCTATATGACTCCATATTGTTCAACTAATACTTGAATAAAATACTTTTTGGCATAAAAAAAACTTGTTAAAGCAGGAATAAATACTGACTTTAAAGAATAACCACAAATATGAATCATTATTAAGAAAAACAAATGAATTTTTGTACAAGATAAAACTCTAAAACTAGTTTATATTTTGTGCAAATAATTTACAATCTGTCATTTATATATTTACTTTATTTGTTCTGGTGCATCCAGCTTCTCTTCTTCCCAGTGGTATAAGTCAATATCATATGGTAAAACCGGAGCTTTTTCTAGCAATTCATCCTTTCTCCTCTTTTTGTCCGCAGGTTTTGTTGAAACGCAAATAGAGGAACTAAATAAACCAAAGCATATTAGTTTTTCTAACCACAATGAAAAAGCAGGCATAAGCAAAATATTATTAACAGGAAGAAAGCTATCTCACTCTTTCTCCTGAGAAACATCATGTTTTCTAGATAGCTTCATGAGGGTTGATGCAGCAGACGTCGGGTCTTTAACATCCTCTTTAGAATGAGTAAGATTCCACTTGGATGCCATTTCAGCTTCAGTCAGTGTTTTGGAACATGAAGGTTGAGAAAGTGATGCTAAATAATATTATGACCATGATGCATTAAAACATATAAACAGACTAACAATTTTCAGTTTTTTTTCTTCTTTTTTTTAAATTTTATGCATATTTATCATAAAGCTGAAATAGAAGTAGAGCACAAGAGCTTTCTTATATTTCCTCATTTCTCTTCCTCCAAAACATCAGAGTTCCCTCGGTCACATGCTTCCTCTCCACCATAAAAAATAATGCTTATGCTTCCACCATAAAAAATAATGTTTAGACTTCAAGCTTTAAAAAGTGCTGTTTGTATTAGTACAAAATTTATAATCAAATATTATTTGCAACAATTTTTTTTATAATTATAACATCTCAAAGAAAAAAAATCATCACAGTTAAAATAACTTACGACTTTCTTTGAATATGAAATTTCAAAATAGAAAAATACATAAATTCTTAAAAACTAATAAAAAATATCCACTATTAGTGAAGAAACTTTAAAATTGAAAATGAAAAAAAACGTGCTAGAACTTTATGTTATTAAAAATATTATTCACATACACAAATAGTCGATATCACACAATATTTCAAACTGGGAAAAATATATTAACTGCATCAACAATGACTTTAAAAAATTAGTGCAATACAAAAATGATTTAATCGAAATTACAATTTCAACCATAAAAAATAACAAGAATGAAAAGAATTATACAATAAAACCAAAAAATTTAGTTAAAATTTAAAATAAAAAAATACATTTAAATAAACAAGTAAAAAATCATTAACCTGGTGTACAGCTTTCAGCAACTGCTTTGGCCTCATATCCCTCCTTTTCTTTCACTTCAATAAAATCATCATCTTCATCATCCAAGTCATCATCGCCTAAGAAAAAAATGAAATACATTTTTTTTTGAAGGTTTGCAAAATGCTATTTCTTTTTTTGCAGTTGTTTCCTCTAATGAATATCAAATGTCATATGTTTTTTTCTTTTGAGTCAGATTTAGTTAGTAATACCAAAATAAAAAATTTCCAATATTTTCAGAAAAAATAAGATAAAAAACCATACCATCACAGAAACCACTTTTTATTTTAAGCTCCTTGTATTTTTCAAAAACTGACTCTATGAGTTGCTTTAAGTCAATGGCTTTCTTCAAAGTATCTGTACAATTATTTCCTTTTGTAAGGATCTGAATGTAAGATAAAAACAACACAAATTATCTCAATTTGAAATGACAAATGTTCAGTAAAAGCCTATTATATTAAGAATACAAAATGACAAGTAAAAGTTATCTTTACAAGCTTTGTAACATAGGAAGGCACCAGTCTTAAATGTTAATACATAAATAAAAAGACAACAAAGATAAAATAGATATATCAACCATCCCAATTACACACTCTGTCTTAGTGCAAAACTTCGTAAAATTGGTATTTTCTAAGACGCGAAAAATAATAAATTGTATAAATTATTGAAAAAGAATAACTCTACATAATACAGGGCTCCACCAACAAATAATAAAGTGGTATTTATTTTCTTACAAAAATATTGTAAAAATAAGAATTTAAGTAAACAGTTAATTTTTAAAATTGTAGACATCCAGTTTTAGAGTTAGATATACAGTCCGAGTCATTCTAAACATGCTGTGGTAGTTAAGAATATTTTTTGTAACTTGAGAAGAAAACAATTAAGTAGTTTTACTACCACTTTTTTTTTGCTTTTGGATGCAGCTCACAACAGTATTTAATGTAATAAATAAATCATTACATTAAATACACAACAGTCTTTAGTGTAATAACAAAAATTAAGTAATTTTATTACCACTCTTTTTGCTTTTGGATGCAGCTCACAACAGTATTTAATGCAATAACTAAACCATTACATTAAATACACAACAGTATTTAATGTAATAACAAAAATTGAGTAGTTTTACTACCACTCTTTTTGCTTTTGGATGCAGCTCACAACAGTATTTAATGTAATAACTTCTTAGAAAACTGTCTGATAAATAATAGCTGGCCACAATAACTGCTCAGAATATGATAGCTGTCCATATTTACAAATAATGAAAAAATAGAAAAGAGAATTGGTAATAATGAAACTAACAAACATCATTAATGCTTAACATTCACATTTAAATGGAATATCTACACATTTAAAAGCAAGAATAATTGAATTGCAATAATTTTGATATATATTCAAAAAAACACTTGAAAAATATTTGTTAAAAACATTTGAATTTCGTATGAATAAAAAAATTAATATTTTAAAGGAATAAAAATTAATGAAGCCTACTTTTAACCACCGTTTAACTGCTGGAAAAAACCGTGTGCTCATTTCCTTATACAAATCTTCCAAATTTTCAACAATAGGCTGGTTATCTTCATTTACTTTAACAGCGAGTTCAGAACCTGTGACAAATAATTTAATTAGTCAAAATAATAAGCATACATGCAGGTTTGTATTGAAAAATAAAGGTCGAAAAAAAATCGAAAAAAAAAACATGATGTAAAACATTCAATTGAAATCTGTACAATACAATGGGCTACAACGTACAGTGAGCAACACCGGAATAACTTTTAATCTAATCATAGGACTTTTTCATACTAAGATGCAATCTTTTTGGTCCAAAAGGTTGACCCTAAATATGTTAATTAATTTGTGCAAACAATATTTTATCAATTCAGACACAAAAACACATGGTTTTTAAGATAAATAATAAACATACCTTATATTCGGCACATTTGGATTCCTGACCTTCAAAATATGGAGGGTAGCTGCATTCTGGAAAATATGGACCCAATAGTTCAGTCATGATAAGGGTCGAAATTTTGAGACATTTAATGTTAATTTCACTCATCTTGTATTCAGAAATATCTCTGACACTATTTAAAAGAATTAAAGAACTCTTGCACATGGCACTAGCTCTTTTAGGGTAAATTTGTTTCATGATTGTGGATAAAACATTTTTCGATTCTCTTAAATAGTACGGAAAGTATGACCAACTATGCAAAAAGTGAAACTACTATATTTTCTATATTATGGAAAATGCCCACATTTTGAATATTCAGTATACAAATCTTTCAAATAAAGGAGCTTATTCAGAGAAAGTATGCTTCTATGTTTGATGAATTGTGTGATAAACTAAAAATATTGCCTGCACAAATTAATTAACATATTTAAATTCAACCCTTCAAAAAATTAAAATTGCCTTTTACGATTTGAAAATTTTCTCATTAGATCAAAAGTTATTCAGGTGGTGTTTGTCTTTTATTTTGTGAACTGTACAGTAGAATTTTCATTTTATAACCTTTTGAATAACAGAACTTTTAACACATAAAATATTGATTGATTGGAAATAACTTGTTACATCTTTTCCATCTTTGGAACTGATCAGCAGTTTTTCAAATTGCCATACAAAGTTGGAAACCACAGAATGTTTTTGAAAAAAATGGTCATAACTTAAAAATAAAGTATTTGTATTGATAAATTATTTTTTATAGTTAACAGAAGCTCAGTGCATCTCAAAAATTGAGATAAACGTAACTATATTTGAAGGAAGAAAAAAAAGACACAATAGAATCTTGTGACATTATTCTTATAAAAGGGTAGAAAGAAGAATATGAAAATTTGACAATGCAATATAGATACAGTAAAAGCCCAACTATCTGGAATTTGATTGACCAGAAAGCTCAAGTAACCAGAATTTTTGGAAATTGATTTTTTTTGTTTCTAAAGATGAACTGCAATATTCAAAAATACGCTGCAAAATACAGTTAAATTCTTGATAAATATTCCCTTCTCTCCTTTAATTTAATTCAATTATGTACAAACTTTTATTTCAGAAAGAACCTTTTTCAATAATTTTTAGAGAAAACTTTTATAATTTTTACACTTTTATCCTTTGCAATAATTTTTTTGTTTGTATTACAACAAGGTATTTCACCCCCCTTGCAAAAAATAACATAATATTAAAAACCTAGATTTTTAATGCTCAAGTATCTCCCATACTTGGAATTTTCCTATTCTCACACATTAAGTTGCGATGGTTCAAGATATAAAGTGTTCGCCTTCCAATGAGGTGAACCTGGTTCGAATTCCAGTGATGGCTAGTTGATACGAATTCTGCATCCGGCTTACACGACCACAGTGCTGACATAAAATATCCTCAGTGGTAGACGGATTATGGGCTAGAGTCCCCTTGCTGTCAGGCTAACTGTAGGAGGTTTTCATATCCATGCAAAGCAAATGCATATTAGCTCCGCTAAAACGCCCTCCACGAAGGCAAATTTCTGCCAATACTTGATTCACGAGTTCCCTTGTCTTCTGAATTGGGTTCAAAATTACAAAGCTATGGGGTTGAAATTAGTAGTTGTAAACCCAAAAAATTAGTTCTGCCGGTCAACGACGGTTATAAAATTATTCTCACACATTCTGTTAAATCAAGCAATTATATATATGAATAACTATATATATGCAATAGCTACTGTATTCTGTACATGATATGTATATGATATATAGTATATTAAATATAGTATATACCATATATGATATGCATATGGATACATATGTTATATATACTGTATAGGAATTAATAATTTGGCAATCACCTCTAAGAAAATTTTTTCGCTACACTCCTGACTTCTACTTGTAAAAAAAAAAAAATCGGTTAATAACAAAAGTCGCCAATAGGGAGAAATGTAATGCATTTTTTCAATGTGTGTAAAGCATAAATGAATATATTTGTCAACTAAAACAATAAATAACAGCTGCAATGAAACTTTGGGCAACTTACTTTACTTAATGTACATAGAGCATAAAAAATATATGCTTACTTTCTTTAAGTTCAATCGTAATGGTATCCCTCATACTATGTAGGCCATGATGCCTCAATGCATCATCATTTGTTTTTATTTTTAAATTTTTATTTGAATCAGATTGGATATCGGGATTTTCTGCTTGATTTTCTTTTCCAGAGTGATCTGTATTTTGTTCTTCAGTTGTAGAGAAATCATCAAGGGAAAAGAACTCAGTAGGGTGAGGAATTAGCAATTTGAAACAATTTTCCATTTGTAAAGCTGTATTCGAGATTTCATCTGAAATTTCTAAAATAATAATAATGTTTAAAAAAGTGGACTAGTAGTATGCTTAATTATAAACTAAATAAAGAAAAGTTTAGAATTATGAATAAAACAACCTATTTATTACAAAATAACCGACAAATTTTTATGTAACATTGTTTCAGGATATTGACCCTAAATTATTACCAATCTATGTTACCAATTATACCTATGAGAAAAATTTGAATTTAGGGAAATATTTCAACATTATTAGATATTGAGTTACCTTAAAAAAAGACATCAACAGCTAAAACCATTTTTTTAAGCATAAGTTTAATGACTTTCATAAAAATTATCATTTACAAATATTTTATTTCTTAAACATGAATGAATAAAATATTTGCTTTTCTTTTTTTTAAATATAAAACTTATCCCTGGCAATGAAAAGTAAATTCTTTATATACTATTAAATGACAATATATAGATATCAAAATTGCTTAAGATTTAGTTTCAAATAAATAAATAAAAATATTAAAAAAATTAGAAGAAAAAAAAAAGTTCAAAAATCAAATAATTTTCATACATAAAATAAATAAATTTAGACTTTTCATGTTTATATGCAATGAAAGTTTCAGATGAAAAAATCATTTTAGTTGGGAAATCCTTGAAAAAAACTTAATCGTTAAGATGTTTATCTGTTTATAATACAAATTAAAATAATACCTATATCGACAAACAATAATCCACACTGCAGCACAATTTTTTCGGGCTTTCTGTGACAAACTTCTTTAGCGCTAATATTTTGCTTTAAGATACTTTAAATTATAACAATACTAATTTAAAGTAGCAGAAATATTTTGTTTACAGTAGAAAGTATAGAATAAAAATATATAAAAAATTTTAATTGTCAAAGTAATATTTATTTAATAGTTATAAATATTACTCTGACAATTAAAATTGAATATTATATACGATATTCTAGCATTTTGTAGGCTGAAAAATGCACTGATTATTTCCTCTTTCAAATTTTGTAAATCATAATTCAAATTAAAATTCTTAAATAAATTAAACGAACGTAAATTAAAATTTTTACATAAATACAAAAATCGTGAAACTCGTGCTGTAACTCACAAAATAACTATCACGAATCACGCGAATAGGACTCTTTAAAAAAAGAGATACCCAAATAAGTGATTGTAAAATATAGAGTTAATATAAGAAAGAACATCAATGCTATAAACTATCACAATTATATGAATTTTTAATTTTTGATTATTATTTTGAAATTCTAACTGAAGCCAGTCATTACAGAATTTTTTTTCTTCTTTTAAATCTCAAATGAGAATAGAAAAATCATGATAATTTCATTTCTCTCTGATGAGCAAGAAAATCATCTTTGAAAAATAAAAACTTTCCGAGAAATAATATAGAAAGAAAAACCAAAATTTTTCCCTTCTCAAATTAAAAATCTTTCAACAAAAACTTTGTAACATTCTGCGATAATGTCGCCACAATTCTGCCAGGGGGAGTAAACATAAGTACCAAAACAATAATTTGCAATCTTTGAATTAGATGAATGATCACAAATTTGACAATTAAAATTATTAGAAAAGAATTACACCAATTTCAATGATTTTCTGAAAATACATAAGGATTTATAACCATTCTAATAATATTAGATAAATTTCAAAACTACAATTTATACTCTTTAATGACCCCACTTTATAATATTATTTATAATTATTATTTAGAACATGAAAATAAATAAGCACCCAGCATTTCATTCTTGACTCTATTTACTTTCTCATTCATAATTCTCTCTAGTTTTTCTTGTTCTCGACGCAATCTTTCTCTTTCAGCAATACTTCTGGCTTCCATATCAGAGAAATCAATCTAAAACCAAGAGTGAAAAATAATTTTTTTAGCCAAACAAAAAAATATCTTTATTAAATATACCATCTAAAAAAGATATCAATATATGTATTTTCTAATATTCAACAGAAATGAGTGAAGCAATGAAAATTACAATTGTACCTTCAGACATTTTTGAAGATAGGTAAGAGCTAACTCCAATCTAACACATTTTTCACCAAACTTTGAAGTCCAGGCTCGAAGGAATTCTATACTTTTTAGTTTCAAATCTTTAGCAGCAGCCTAAAAATGGAAACCAAACAAATTTGTAAAAAAATAAGAAAAAAGCTTCAATGGAAAAAAAAAATTTCTTACCTTTGCAAAATTTTGACTTTTTGTTTAAAATAAATTCAATTTTCAAAATTACCTAAATTTTTAACATAATTTCAATTAATTGCTAGCGTATAATAGAGATTATGATAGTTATAAAATATAGTATTTGTTTTTTTGAGCGAGTTTCATTTACTTTTATTTTTAATAAAACTACAAAATAATAAATAATTATATGTAAAAATGTAAATACAGTGAACTCTCGCTATTACGATATCCAATACACAAAATAACTCCCTTTATTATGCTTCGTGGTCCTGACAAACTAGCATATGAATTATATGTTGNATTTTATCATCTTTTGCCATTTTTTCATTTTTTTTCTGACAAGAGAAGATTCACTGCTGACCACCCATAGAGCTTCCAAATGTATAACATTCCTCTATGATTTAATTTCCTTCATGCTAAAAGCTGATAATGAATCACAAATGACCACAAGCATCACATTAAAACCTGAACAAGAATTTTTTCCATGGAGGGTGGGTGTAGCCCTGGGTGTAACCATTCACAAACAAAAATCGTTTTCGTATTTCTCAATGCATATTTTGTTTGTTGACTTGATTGTCAAAAAAAAAAAATAATGAATAAACAAATAAAAATATCGAATTTCCATTTTCAATAAAAACGATTTTCTGGTGTATTTGCGATCTTATTTTATTTCAATTGTTTTTAATATTTAGCCATAAAATAACACTCTGAAAATTAATTTTTTATAAAATATATACATTTATAGCTAATACATACACAACATTAAAATTTTTAAAAAATCCTATTTTGTCCCCAAAGTATGTTGCCCCTCGATGTAACAATATATCCCTCTACAACAATATATTTATTTGGACCCAAAAATATTGTTGTAGCGAGGTTTTACTGTATATAATAAATACTGTTAGTTTAAATCTATAAAATATTTAATAAATGAAGCATTTAAATTTTTTTTGCATGCCTGTTAGGAAATTTTATTTTTTCAATTGTAATTACAAAGCATTTCAACTCATTAATGTTAATAAATCAATTTTAAAGAAGGAGATTGCGAGAATTGCACATCATCAAAAATAAATATTAGTAAAAGCAATTATTATGCAATTGTATTATTCATGCAATTTTAAATTAATTGATTTTTATGTAAATCAATCCATTCATTTGCAAAGTTAATAAATGTTGATAATTAATTTTTCAATAACAACTTTTCTATAACATAGAAACATTTGTACTTAATAATTATATAATCAATAGGAAAATTAGCCATTTTTTAGACATTTAAACTGTTTAAAAATAATTTTAATTGGTTATAAAAATCCTATTATAAGATTTAAAATTAATTATGTTTAAACATAGAAATTTAGAATAACAATACTAGTTTTTCTATTAAAATTTGTTCAGTACAAAGCTTTGTCAAAATTAAGTGGTTTAATACAGTAGTTCCCAAATGGTGTTCCATAGAACCCTAGAATTCTGTGAAAGAGTTAAAGAGGTCACGAGAGTTAAGACTTTTTTAAACAGTTTTCATTTAATTTTTTTTTAAATCTATAACTATATTTAGATCCAATCAATAATCCATTATTTAATTATTATTTTTATTTTCTTTATAAAATTATATTTTAAGTAATTTGCTAAAAAGAGAGAAATGAATTTTTTTTAAAAAATAAAGTAAATAATTTTTAACAACAATTGTAAAAATTAGGAAATGAACATGCATTTATTAAAAAATTACAATGGTATTTTACAATGTGCCTTTCAAATTAAAAATTAAAAAAAACTGAATTCTTTAATAAAGGAATATGTTTCCCTAATAACCATTTTCACCATTTATAACAGTTCTTTATTTATTATTTTTTTTTTTGCAGCAATATAAAAACAAATTTTTAACTAGACTAGATTCACAGCCAGCAAATACAAATGTTGAACATAAAACCTAATTTAAGATTGCTAAAGATAAAACGATAAAAAATTTCATTCACCTTATTAAATAAAAAAAGTCTAAATAAAGTAGTTTTTAATAGTTAATATGAACACAATTGTCTTTATTTATTTTAATAACGAAGTCTGGTTTCTACCGGAAGAAGAATAATTATTTAAGATTCCTTAGTTGAAAAAATTGTGAACAGCTGGTCTAATACATATAGAGCAAATACTAACTTGAGGTAGTGGAAGAGGCTGATCTGGATCACTCTCTGCAACCAATTCAAGAAATTCCTCTAAATCATTTTCAAGAAGTTTTCGGAAGAGAGATGATCTTTGAAAGAGCTCATTAATTATCAAAAGCACAGAGTATCGTATTTCTGAATGTTCTTTTCTTAATTGAGTCATTAATACATTGTAAGTGAAATATACATATTCATTAGAAGACCTACAACAAAAAAGAAATTAAAATAAATACTAAAAATTTAGCATAGGAATGTGATTTAAGCAAAATAAACTAATATATATATGACTGGATTTCTTATATTTCAAATATTTTTAAATAAACAAAGGTAATATAAAAGCAGTAAAGTAAATTACTTCTTAAAAATAATATTGCCTATAGGTAGCGGTAAAAACAGCATAGATACACAAAAAAAAAAGAAAAATTCAATCAAGCACCCAGATTTTTAGGCAAGTAGCAATATACAAAAAGTTATAGATAAATAACCATTAATAATAAATAACCCTAGATAAGTAACCATTATTAATCACAAAAATAGCGAGAAAAAAATTTATAGTAAAAATAATAATCCTTATAAAAAGAAAAGTTTAATAAAGAGTGCTACATAAATAACAATTTCATGAAAGTGGATCAATTCCTGTGTGGCATCACTTTAAAAAAATCAAATAATTCTTTTCATTCAAGATTATTTTGTCAAAGAAATATCCTGAAATTGTGAAATATTTTTCCCCTGTATGTATATAGATAATTTAAGGCAATTACCCACTTCTTGGCAGCTATTTTCTAAACATTTGCCCTATGTTGCACATTTTTCCGACATAACAAATCCTCGTTTACATTTCTAAGTTAACAAATTTATATGATAGTAAGAATAGAATTTAGAATTTGTTAATATCAAATATTAACAAAATTACAAAAATTCTAACAATTAATGCTTTTAATTAATGTCATAACAGTGAATGATAGTGAATACTATAAAGACAGAAAATTACCATATACCTAATAATTCTAAAAAGACAATGTGGTCCTTCTTAGATTACTTCAGTGTAGATCTAAAATATATATCTAAAAATGTTGTAAAAGTAACTTATTAAAGATATAGTCCCGCAGTGGACTGATCGTTAAGACACGGTTCCCAGCAGATCACCGAAGTCAAGCATCACTGGCTACGGTCAGTGTGCGGGTGGGGGACCACTTGGATCAGTCTGCGTAGGGACCGAGGGTGTGCGGTACTGGTCCTCGTTAAACTGCGCTACAGTAAAGTGCTCAACTTCGAGCGCAGGTCGTCGGACTACCAAAGCGGGGGTGCCATCCCTTCCGCAGAGGATCAAAATTGTGATGGCATGTCTTCGGATCATCCTCTAGGATGCTTCCCAAACTGTCGCCAATAGCCCATTGTGCAGCTCTAGTGCGATGTAAATTAACAACAACAACTTATTAAAGATATAGTAGCAACTTGAACATTAAAATCCCATAGGATTTATTTATAAAAGTTTGTAGCAAAAAAATTAGTGATAAAAGTTTATTCTCCCCATAATCAGCATATGAAAATCAATTTACCCTAAAAAAATAATAAAATAAACTACTTCAGAAGAGAATAATGTCAAAAAAGAGATATTTTTGGGAGATTTCTTAATTGCTCAATTTTAATTTGAAGATTCTTGAGGCACTAAAAATTTAGAAAAACTGCACTAAGTGATTTAAACAAGGTAAAGGAAGCAAAAAATATCAACTTACTTGCATATATTTTTCAATTTTTTCATTGAAGTTTCATCTAATATTTTTTTCCCAGAAGTAACTTGAGAATCAATAATCTTCGAAATTTCAATTTCCTTCATAGATGACATTTTGCTACAAAATTTTTAAATATTAAAAAATAAAAATGCAACATTGATACAACAACATATAAACTCATTATTGAGTAAGGATTAAAATAAAATAAACAATAAAGAGAAAAAGTGTAACAGCAGTTAAAAATTTAGTTAAAACATTAATTTCGAAAACATTATATTGGTGAAAAAGATTAGACATTTTTGAATGCATAAATATGTAAAATAAAGTAACATTTTTATATTCATTTTATGCATTAGCATGTTCTATAGTTTCTTCTAAAAAATTATTTTAATGGTTTGTAAATTTAATTACATCTCAGAAAATAGATTTATTTACAAAGGTATTTATTTACCATGTATTTAAGAATTAATATGTTAAATAAACCTAATGTATGTTAAATAATATGTAGGTTAAATAACCTCTGCAAATGAAATAATACTTAAATTTTACTTTTCCTTACATTCAGAGATTCATTTGCAATAAAATTTCAATTATCCGTTAACATAATAAACCTTTTGAAACTGGGAATACATTCTAGCTTCTGATGGATCCCTTTGCTTATGACAGTATTTAAAGAGTTAATTAACAATATAACAATTAAATTTCTTTTAAAAAAATATTTAGATATATGCCCTATGACTATGAGGTATACCTTTCAAGTTGGTCCCTTTGTGTGATGTTTTTACTGAGATTCTCACGGGCAGCTGCTCAGAAGCTACCAAGGCTTGGCAACTATTCTGCCACAGATCAAGATACGTAAATCTACAGTAATTAAAAAACCTTTAAAAAAAACACTAAGGATTGGGAAATATATATATATATATATATATATATATAAGTANTAAATATATATATATATATATATATTAGATGTATAATTTTAAAAAAATCATTAAAATTAATTATATTTAAAAAAACAAAAAAACATCGCCTTGTTCAAGCAAGAGAAATAAAATTTTTTTAGCAACATAAATAAGTAACAATTCACGCTGTAATTTTTTTTTCTTCAAATTATACATTTTGTGATAAACCAGTAAATCTCAGACCTCACATGATAAACCTAGATTTGCGAAAGTGGTTGGGCAAAAGTTCGCCGAAGTACTCTTTAATATTAAATATGATTCAATTTCGGCCTTTGGCATTGAGATAAATCCTAGGCATTGAGATAAAACCTAGAATTTACCTGCCTTCCGACACTTCAATAGCATATAAATCATTTGATGAATTCTCTACTTTATGAAAATATATTAGATACTATATCATACATATTACATATTTTAGATAATACAAAGCATTAAAAAAGGTGCATTTGATTTTTCTTTATTTAATTTGTTGTTTGATGAGAAATCAGAGCATAACTGAGATTAATTATTTATTTACCTTTTTGTTTACATCAATGTAATTCCTATTCAATACATCAATCTGTTACGGTTACAAACTACAGACGTTTTAGACAGCTTTTGAGCTTTGACCACAAGAATAAAATTTTCAACTCCTTTTTACTGACCTCTCTTGGCAAATATTTATACTAAATTGATGCAGATTTTTCGCATGTCATCTTTTTGTCTTTACAAAACTCACTTCTTATCACTTTAATTACAGACGCCGGCTGAAACAGTTGTGTAATCAATTTAATTTAAAAGTAATTTCAAGTAATTAAGCTTCAACATGGCCCTTCGTGAAAGAACCTTCATTATGATCAAACCTGATGGTGTTCAACGAAATCTAGTCGGTAAAATTATCAGTCGGTTTGAAGAAAAAGGCTTTAAATTAGTTGCTATGAAATTCATGCAGGTAAGGATCCACGTGTCTCAATTTCAGTAACTTCCCCTAAAAGTTTGTTACACTTAAATTTTGATGTAAATTTTACAGCTTGCCCTTTAAATTAGATTTTTTTTTATAATCTTATTTCCTCATGTCACTTATTTCACTGCTCATCTCCCTTAGTTTTGAAAACCAATCCTTGCACTCTTTAACTAATATCTTAAAGTAGTATTTACTACATGTTGAATATTTGAAATGTTGTTAACATGAACAAATAGTAGGTCCCTTTGTTCTGATTCGAGAGGGATGACAACTCTCTGAATACAGAAAACCTGAGATTCCCTTTCCTCGGGAAGTTAAAAATCTGCTTTGCAAAGCGGGAGCTCACTTGGAAATTCAGTGAACTAAGTCTATTTAATTTTATTGTCTGCAGTGCTATTTTGTTAAAATACTTTTATTAGTACTTCAGTACCGGTTCCTCTAACTCTTATTGCTCTGATAGTCTGAAACTTGTTACTTTTTTCCTCTATATTTTAATTTTTATATCTGCTGTTAAACAGCCAATCCAATTTTCAGTTTACGCCCATCAATGTTGGAACTCCATACCCTAGTAATTTTTAATCCAATCCAGAAGACAAGGAAATTTCTGTATCGAACATTAGGAAAAAATAACTTTCTTTGGGGACTTTTTATAAATCTAACCTGCATTTGTGAACACAGAGAGGAAAACCACGAAATCTTCCCATGGTTAGCCGTACGCAGGGTTTGGTTTCTAACAAGCAAACAACAAGTGTTTGGTATTTAGCAAGTTTTTGCACCAATGCAAAGGTGAATTAAAATTATGTTCACAGGATTTTAAACCGCACATCGTGATTACTATTTAAGCAATTCAAGATTGTGCATCATATTTTCATAATATATCCAGGGTTCGCCAAGTGGGCCCACTTTGAAAAAACCCGCCCGGGTTTTATTGGGTGGGCCCACCTTGAAAAAACCCACTTGGAACGATAAGTGGGTTTTTTCAACAAAAAAATCCTTTTTANTAAGATTAATTTGTTTTTTGAAACTATAAAGTTAAAATGCATATATTTATCTAAATATTTGAAAAAAGGGACAAGTAACTGATACTCTTTATAATTATACATAATTTTAATTTCACTTTCTATTAATCGTATTATAAAAACATGGAAGACCATTAAATATTTATTCCAGTTTAATTTTATTACAGGTAAAAGTCAGATGAAATTTTAGTGTTTACTTATACAACACTATTTAATAAATAAAAATATTTTTACAGTAAAATTTATGAGCACTAAATGAAAAAACCCAATTTTCCCCGGGTTTTTCAAATAAAACCCAATTTTCCCCGGGTTTTTTCAATAAAACCCAGGCGGGTTGGGTTTTTTCAAAAATCCCCGGGTTTTTTCAAACCCTGAATATATCAGACATTTGATATGGTGTTTAAGTTATTTAAAAATAATACATTAAAATTCATATTTGTGCAATTTCAAATATGCCACGGTTTTTTATTATTCCCTATGGTATGAATTAATAGTTTTATTAAAAATTAATCATTTTTTAAAAGATTTATGATTTTCAAATGAATTTCGCCAAAATGACATGGCAACAGTGAAGTTTAAACTAGTTACGAGAGTTAATCAATGTGCACATAAATTTTTTTGTTGAGATTTTGTGTTGGTTTCATTTTATCTTAGTATGTTAGGAATATTGTGTGTGTTAATTAAAATGAAATAATGCATCTTTGATTTCTTTATAAGCTTAGTAAGAATTTTACTAATGAATTCAGTGATAACGTTTTATATTTAATTGCATTAGACTTATAAAAAAAATTCTTTTTGATTCTGATGTATGACTAACTTTTTTTCATTTTGCTTAGGCTTCACAAGGACTCCTCGAAAATCATTATGCTGATTTGTCCAGCCTACCTTTTTTCCCCGGTTTAGTTCAGTACATGCAAATGGGTCCTGTTGTCCCGATGGTAATTTTTAATTGAATCAAATGTTATAATTAATCAATTCGTTGATTTTGAATTGTGTACAAATTTTTTTAATGTGTTTAGGTTTGGGAAGGTGATAATGTTGTGAAGACAGGAAGAGATATTATTGGAGCTACAAACCCTTTGATGTCTGCCCCTGGAACCCTCAGAGGAGATTTGTGCATTCAAGTTGGAAGGTAAGGTTATTAAACTGTTATATTTTTATTCATTAATTCATTCACTTGATTAGTTTTACAAGATTTCATTCAAATTAAACAAAAATTTGTGTATAGCTCCTAATAAAATATGATCAGGGGTATGTTTAGAAGAAATTAACGGGCCCTTCACAAAATATTTTAACTTAAATTATTTTGTGAAGGGTCCGTTTTTATCTTTTAATCGAACCCTTCACAAATTTGTTTATCTTTATTATTGTTTTGTTAAATTAATAAATCCTTCCCAGGAAAGGGGGGGAAGACAGATGTAAGCAAACTAAATTTTGTCTTTGGCAGACGCTTCTTCCTTTATTCGTCCGAAATGAATATTCTGTGTGTTGAGCAGTATAGGCTAAATACTAAATATTTGTATGTTGCATCTAATTTAGTAGCTGCAATTACTGTCTATTTTTTAATTATAATTTTACAGTGTTGAGCATAATCTTGTCTGTCTGTACAATTTAAAAACTCCTTGAAAAAGTTTTTTTGCAATAATGGACCCTATCTGCACAAATTCACAAAAGCAGACCCTGGTTGAAAGAATGTGACTTAACGTCTATTTTGTATTCACAAATTACAGGCAATTTTTTTCACAATTTTATGAAAACGGACCTTTCACAAAATGTCTGGACAGACCCCTGATGATGAAATATAATCTCTTTTAATATAGGTAGGCTTAGAAGTAAGCTGATACAATTCAAAACACTAAATTAAGTTGAACACTAATGGTAAAATTTATTTCTTAGTTCATCTAGCTATATTTTTTTCCCACTATAGAAATTAGAATTAAAATATTTTAATGAAGAATGGTTGCTTTTTGACATTAATTAAATGCAACGAATTCTAATGTGTTTGAACTAAATTAGGATTTTTAACCCCATAACTGCCGAGAGTGTATATACACGTCTCGGCCAGACGATGTGTTAGCATGCTTTTCCGAAGTACGGTGCTTTGCTATAAATAAAACTACACCCCCAATAACGGAATGCAGTAAAATGACCTTGAAAGTTTTTGGGAATGTATTGCCAATTTCAGAGGAGGGGGAAAGGGATGTGTTGGAAAAGTGATATCATCGTATTTATTGCTTGTGTGTTTCTATTTGAGAAAGGTCTGGTTTCTTCTTTCGCTTTCGTTTCCTGTGTGTATTTGGTGCTTTTTATTCTTTGGATGAATATGTCGAAAAGTGATGATAGTTTCATGATTTATCATACAACAGCGATGTTTTAGCACCTTTTATATTGTATTTTTATTCTATAATTTAAGATATGTATTTTTTTCTTTTATTGTGAAAGTAAACTGTTTTTAAATTGCAACGCCTGCACCTTTTCCCCCTGCCAAAACACCGCGTAACAAAGCACACTTGAGCAAAAAAACAGTGGCACTCGGGAGTGAATCCCATAAATTTTACTCGGCAGGCTAGGGGTTAATTTGTATTTTCTGATATAAGTTTTATAGCTTGACTAATATACTGTGACTCATAACAAATGCTGATTTTAACAAAGTAAAACATGGTTCCTTTTTACAGAAACTTACTCTGTAATGACTTCATTACGCAATGAAAGTTTTTGGTATATTCTTAAAAATTAAGTAAATCATCATTGATAGCCCCAGTGGGGTAGTTTTAATTCATGTTCGAGGGGGTTATTGGTTACCTCCTTCTAATATATATATATATATTCTAAATGTTTAAATAGGCCGGATAGCCTGGTTGATAGAAAGCTGGACTCGCGTTTGTGATGATGAGAGTTCGAATCCAGCTGGTTGAAGACTCCCTGTGTAGTAAATAGTGACTTGTGCTCATTAAATCTGCCGGGTCACGAAGTTCTCCATGTTTCCATAACAAACGTATGAGTGTGGAAGAAATCTGACTCTTAGCCATAGATGGCACCACTGGAAAACAAGAACAATGCATTCCCTCAGCCTTAAAACAACAATTAACAACTACTTCAGTATAATAGTTCATTACTTACCGTACAATAGTTCATTAATCAAGTAATATATATAATTTCGGAAGGGGTTTTGTCCCCCAAAACTAAGCCACTATTGATAGCCCACTTAAAAGTTTGTAAATTTTTTAGACCTAAAAGTGTTGGCTTTTCTTATTTTCATACATAAAGACTATGGGGATTAATGTCCAATAGTGTAAGAAAATTGGCAATGCCACCTTTCTTGAATCCTGAATTAATAAAATCAGTTGCCCTATTGTTCTAATGTTATAAATAGCTACAGTTAATTACTTGTGATTTATTATGACTTGGAAATGAATATTTATTGAGTTCAGACAGATATTATAGCTAGAGAGATTTGTCGCAGTTAGCTCAAAAAAATTCTGCCACAGGAGTTTTTAAAAACTCATATTTATGTCTCAAAGAAAACTTGAGTCGGTTATAAGGTACAACAGTTCTTTTCTCTATTCCACAAATTTTGGTTGCTAAATGAATAAGTTAATTTATTAAATATGGGAAAAAAAATTATTGTGTGCTGCATATCATCTGTGATGCATTCTTAAATGGATGTCATACTGTGGGAGAAATTGGTAAATTCACCCTCCCCTCTCATTAATAATTTTGAAGTTTAGAAAAGAATGAGTTCATGCAGGCAAAGTGATGCAGTGGTATAGTAATCCTGCGATAATTTTGCATTTTGTGAGTGTGTTTTGATTGGCTCATAGTTTACATGAACTCACTCCTCTAGATTTAAAATCAACCAATGGAGATGAAGCAGTATTTGTCATGAAAACTTTCTCCTGCAATAATAAGTCACTAGTAGAAATTACTTCCCATATTGGTTTGAATCAAAATTTGAATGATTGAGAAACCAATATAATAAAGGTGGAGTAGAAATTAGAATTTAAAAAAATTAAATCTATGTTAGATAATTAATTTGCTATTTAAGCAAATACAATAGAACCTCAATTGATCATATCTCAAGGGACCATTCGTTGTGAACGATGGATAAGGGAAAACGACAAATGCTTGAATGCAGAAAGTTCCTCGTGATTTTAAAGGTTTTAGGTCCTTTTGTTAAATTGTTTTTGGTTGTACTTTCATTTTGCTGTCTACATCGGTGTCATTTCTTAGCTTGTGCAACCATTTCGTAAACCACGTCTTACAACTTTTCCATGAACTGAAACTGCCAAACCTGATATTTAAGGCATTTTTACCATACTGTAACGAAATCTTAATTTTTTTTTTCTTTTTTCCTTTATCAGTAACATAAGAGGGTACTTCTTTTTGTCAGTAGAATTTGTGAGTGTATTAGATGTGGGAGTCAGTTTATTTTTAAAACTATCTAAGCTTTTATTATTAACATTATGAGAATAGCATTTGTGGCGGGACTGTTAAAACAAGTCGATACATGGATGAAAATGATGGATCGTGGTTCAACTGTATCTAGAAGAAATGACTTTTTCTTAATTTTACATCGAGAAAATATTCATATATAATTCATATCTTTTTTACATAAATTTAAATGAAAATCTATAATAAAGCATCAAAGTCAAAATATAAAGCATTCCTTTATTTTTTTTAGAAACATCATCCATGGTAGTGATTCTGTACCTAGTGCTCAAAAAGAAATTTCACTGTGGTTCAAAGATGAAGAGTTAGTTTCTTACAAGAGTGCCTTGGAAAGCTGGATTTATGAAAATTAATGTTGATCTAATAAATTTTTTATACTTGAAAACAAGGCTTCCTCCTTTTGCTGTAAAATTTAATTTGGTATATCATAACTATAATAGTTAGCTAGTAGCTTGTCCAATTCTGTATTTTCAGTTTCAACTTCTACCTTTTGTGCATTTAATCTTTGTCTTGAAGTCAGAAAATCTCTAGAGAAATTATTTAAGAGTTTATATAAAATTATTCATCGTATATTCTTATTTAAAAAGTAAAATATTTTCTGTTAAAAAATACTAATAACTTTGTGTTTGCATCAATTAGTCTGAATTTGTAGGTTTGAGTGGGGTGCAAAAAAAAAGTAATAATTTATAAAATTAAATTTAAACACATGTTAGTTTAAAAATTCTGTTAGTTTTTTTTTTTCTTCTTAGTTAAGAAAACTAACTGTACATAAGCTATTTTTTAAAAAAATTCAGGATAACAACTTTTTTCCTAATTTTTGCAAGCCGTGATAAACTAGTTAGTTCGGCCCATGTCCGAGAATTCTATCTCCGTTTACAAAACGGTGACTGGTACACGCTAAATCTTTTGTGAATCAAAAGTCCTCTAAGTTCCCATAACAAATCAATACATTTGGGGGCACTGGATCAAACAATCTTGTATTAATGGTATACAACTGCCACTTTCTGCAATTCTAAATTTGTTTCTCATAAAACTAGACTAATGTTATATAAAATATTTTATTTTAGATGAGTTGGGACTGGTCTCTCGGTGTAGTTTGTTAAGAATAATTATAGACTAACAATTCTAGATAGTGAAGAAGTTTCAAAATTATAGAATTACCTACTATTGTGTACTAATTATAATTTTTAGCAAAGTATTACGTCTTAGTTATGAATTGCATAAGTTAAGTTTTAATGCAAATTAAACACTTGATTGGTTCAGAACTGAAAATTGCGAGTAATTCTTAGTTTTAGTATGCATTGAATGTTGCAATTTAATTTTGCATTAATGTTTTACATTTACTACCACTTAAAAGAAAAACTTCACATAACTAAAAGATACAATAATTTTTCAATCATTTGGATTCATCGCGTCATCAAAACGATGAGTCACGATCATCGCCCGAGCTTGCAGACATCCAATGTCAACGATACATTCAGAAATATCGTGCACATCTAAGTAAATCCCAATTTCCGATGCTTCGAAATCCGAACATTAGATCGGCGATAATTGCATACAATCGATATCTTCCGATACATCGATTTATCGCCCAGTCCCTACAGGCAACAGGTTTTTAACACTTGACTTAAATTTGTGCTTTTTTTATTGTATTAGAGAGGTTTCTCGAGAAATTATTAATTTAACTTAAATGTTTCTTTCACTTAAGCAATAGATTTGGTCATTTATCTCTCAAAGACAAATGTTTCACTTGGTGAGGAAATTTTGGTATTTATAATCGGTTTATTGTCTAGAAAAATAATTTTTATTAATGAAGAATAAATTTTCAATTGCAGGATGTGTCAAGGAATCCAAGAGAAATGCCGAAAAAAATCAATTACAATTTTTTGAAGGGAGAACCACTTTTCGTCAGTTTGCAAAACTGCGTGTACTATGTTATAAAATTACTAGTACTCAGCATAAATATTAACTATAGAGTCTGCAACAATAAACATAAAATTATCGATAAATAAAGGGGGATGAAGTTTTTGCAACAAACTTCAAACTAACACATTTCAACATTTTCGTTCAAAACCTATCAATTCCTCGTACCGAAAATTTTCCCTTTTTCAAAATGAGATGTTTCCTTTACCATGTTGATTTCAGCTGCGAATTATGCAAAAAGACGCAGTTCACATTGTTCTATTCAACGTTTTCACAATTCATTCAACTCCAAACTATTTCGGCGTAGTGTATGAAACGCCATTCATTTTATATGATTTAAAACTTCATAATTTTTAACAATGCCAAAATTATTATTTTAAGTGCTTAAAAATATCTTGAGTGCTTAAAAGGTGCTTATTTTTTGTTGAATAATTTGACTACTCACCCAGGCTATTATAAAATTCATTATATTGATTTAGCCCTGAATCTTTTTATTTTCGCTTATGTCTACTTATCGCTTGCTCGCAGCTGCATGTAAACTACATTTACAGTTTGTTATGTAAAGGTAGTTTACTATACAGAAAAAGAGAGATTTTGAGCGCTCTGATTGAATTTCTCGGCAAAACCTGTGGCTCCTCCCTAATTAACATTTCTCCGTAATTTGTTTATAAAATGTAAATCAGTTCATGTTCTTTTAATAATAACACATTTATTGAATTATAGTTTGCTTTAAAATTTCTTTATTTGTCTAAAAAAAAATTTTTTTTACGTTTCAGTATAATATTTTTAAATATTAATCATAATGATTTCTATTTTATTTTTAAATAAACACGGCAGTTTCTCAGGCGAAAAAACTGGCATTTCAAGTTTGAAAAATAAATCGGTCTATGCTTAAAATAACAATTGGCGATCGAAATAAGCTTCAGGTGGCGTAGAGCAGAACTCTCTACCTATGGCAACACTCCACATGCTTTCCCCATTAGCATGTGGAAAGTCATAGAGGAAGGAAGTATGTTAGTTTCTCTCTTGATTTTCATACAGATTAAAATCTTTTAAGTTGGAAAACTATATGGCACTGAAAACTAAATTAAACATAGTTCTAAAGAAAAGCATCGCGGAAATTTTAAAAGATATTTTTATTAAATAAAAAGGGAAAATATCCTTTGGCCCTTCTCCCCAGATGGCGTATGGGGATCAGTTCTTGACAATCGTATGGGTGGAAGATGGCGTATGGGGAATACGCCATCCGGCTCCCCAGATGGCGTATTCGAGCATTGCAATCGCCAATCAAAGCAGAATGAATTAACCATACGTCACACAAGGCGTTGCCGAGAAATTCAATTATTTACAGAGTTAATCGAACTAGTTCTTACGGATGGTGTTTTCTACACTAGGGAGCGCTGCAAGCTCGGGACTGTCTAAATTTCCGGGTTACTGTTTCAGTTGTATTTTAAAGCCATTTAGCATCATTGTGTTTTGAGATTCTTGCAAACAATGCATTTTATTACTTATGTTTACAATGCTAACAATACTGTTTACAATACTAAAAGTGTTAACACTAACGTAAGATGGTGCACAGCTTGCAACACGAACAAACAGTAATAAACAAACGGAAAGAGGCCAAATCAAGACTGCCAAAAAAGCGAGTTATTCAAAATCTAGCAACCATGTCACCTTTTTTAATAATAAATAACTAAAACAAATTTTCACTCTAAACTCCCCAGAATTACATAATAACATTAATATCTTATGAAATACGGCAGATTTGAGCTCAGAAATTATCTAGTTTATTTATTTTATTGAAAACAAAATTATCCGTTTGAAAACATCGCCTATCAGAATAACATGTAGTAAGCAGCTGCAAACTTTTTAACCGGAACTAGAGTAGGTCCCGAGCTCGAGATTGTTTACATTTCTATTGAAAACACCATCCATTATGGATGGTGTTTTCCTCACTGGGGGAACGCTGCAAGCTCCATACCGCCTATACTTCCGGGTTACTCTTTCCGTTGTATTTTAAAGCCATTTGACTTACAACGTGATCATTGTGTTTTGATATTGGATTACTTATGACTTGTGTTTACAATGATAACAATACTTATGTTTACAATGCTAAAGGTGACAACACAAATGTAAGATGGTGCACAGCAGCTTACAACAAGAACAAACAATAATAAACAAATGGAAATAGGCCAAAAAAGCGAGTTATTCAAAATATTGCCACCATGTCACCTTTTTTAACAATGTATCTATAACTAACTAAAACAAAATTTCACTCCAAACTCACCAGAATTACATAATAACATTAATATCTTATGAAATACGGCAGATTCGAGCTCAGATATTACCTAATTTACATCTTTGTTTCAAAACAAATTTATCCGTTTGAAAATATCGCCTCTCAGAATAAGCAGTTGCAGACTTTCTAACCGAAACTAGAGCAGGTATTGAGCTCGAGATTGTTATTGTTTACATTTATATTGAAAACACCATCCATAGGGAAACGAACAGCTTTAGTTTAATAGTAGATGGGAAGAAAAAAAAAACTGAGGCTATGAGTACAACAAACATTGTTTTAAGGCTTTCATATATTCAGTTTATATATATTCAGAGTTTTAGTAACTTACGCACGAATTAAGTTTCTTACATTAACTTACTTATATTTCTTCAAGAGTAAAATTACACTATCCCACAGGTGAATTTTGGGAATTGATGCTTGAATAGAATTCCAGTCTATGTTTTCGTTTTTAGGCGATTCTTCTTCCATTTCTTTTAACTGCGTTTTAGAAAATCGATGCCTAAAATATGGATGTTTTCGTTAAATTATAAATTACGATTGAATTTTTACGTAATACGGTAATATTCATAGTTAAGGGAGTTCCCCTAAGATATGCTAATTAATGCTTACTCAATTACAAATTGTAACTTTTGTTTTCTTCCCCAAGGCTGATTTTTTAGTTTCGGTGCGATAGTTTGAATGCGATAGTTGAAATACTTTAATTTTATTTGTAAGGCTTTAATTCTTTTTAAATAGTCTTGTCATCTTGAGATGAGTGATTTTAAAAAATTATTAATGGCCATTAGAATCACGTTCCAAACCAGGAAGGCGTTGTAGATTTCTAAAAAAATTTCCGTAAATTGTCATTGAAAAGCTCAGGAGATTGACCGTTCGCCTCCTAATGAAGTTACACAGGTTCGAATACCAGTAGTGACTGGTTACAAACTCTGCTCCTGTCTCGCACAAATCACAGTGCTGACTTAAAATATCGTTAGTGGTAGATCATGAGTTAGAATCCCTTTGCATTGGACTAACCATGGGAGGTTAAGGTTTTCCGCTTCATGTAACATAATTTCGGGTTAGTTACTTACATCAACAAAAAAAAGTTCTACACGGAAGCTAGTTTGATCCAACGCTTGATCCAGAAACTCCCTTCTTTTCTGGGTTAGGTTCAAAATTAAAAGGCTACGGAGCATTGATAGTCGTAAATTCAGTTTTCAACGCCGGTTGTAAAATAAAATAGTTCTTGAAATTTTAAAATTATTGAGGACAATAGGCTGGAGGGATTAAATCATGTTTTCTGTATATTCAAGATGTTCGAATGACTGAGTAAGGAAGAAATACAAACTTTTTTACTGTTATAAAATCGATAAAGCCTTCCAAAGTTCTACTCCAATCAAATACAGCTTCGCCTGCATCGTTCATTTTGGTGAATTTCATCATATGATTTTTTAAGTCTTTTAAATCTTCTTCAAAATCTATTTTAAATACCTGCAACAACAACAAAAAATTACAACTTAACTCTTTGTTAATAGAATAGGCATCTCAATGTTACGCGATTTCCGGACTTTTCACGCTCGATTGAAATGCTAATCAAGATTATTTATGTAGTATATTCATGATAATTGGAAAATTTTCGATTTATTATAATTATTTCAGGTAATAGAAGGTTGTAATTGAACAATAATCATCTGCTTCCCATTTCCAAAATATTCTTGCTAAACTCGAAACAATGTCACAACCTGTGAATTGATCTTCCCGAATTTTAAAACCTATCATTTAATGCTGTTTTTCGAAGCTCTGTCACCAAGGGAAACAGAAAAGCCATATTTTAAGAGCCTTACATTTGAAGCATGCGATGATTTTAAACGATTTATATAATCTTGCCGTGAAGAATAGTCTAGGCTATGGATGGTGTTTTCAATATAAATGTAAACAAAATAATAATCTCGAGCTCCATTACCCCGGTTAGAAAGTTTGCAATTGCTTACTACAGCTTATTCTGCGAAGCGATATTTTCAGACGGATAATTTTGTTCTCACTAAAAGAAATAAATTAGATAATTTCTAAGCTCAAATCTGCCGTATTTCATAAGATATTAATGTTATTAAGTAATTCTGGTGAGTTTGAAGTGAAAATTTGTTTTAGTTATTTATAGCTATATTGTTAAAAACGGTGACATGGTTGCTTGATTTTGAATAACTCGCTTTTTTGGAAGTCCCGATTTGGCTTCTTTCCATTTGTTTATTACTGTTTATTCTTGTCGCAAGCGGTGCACCATCTTACGTTAGTGTTAGCACTTTTAGCATTGAAGCATTGTAAACACAAGTATTGTTAGCATTGTAAACGCAAGTAATAAACGCTTTAAAATACACTTGTAACAATAACCCGGAAGTATAGGCGGTATGGAGCTTGCAGCGCTCCCTAGTGTAGAAAACACCATCCATAGAGCACACAAATAGCTTAAATATTTTAAAAGTTATTAAACTTTTTTTTAAAAAAAATCGCCAAATTTGGCGACATTTTTCCACCGAGATGAAAATAATCAAAATCACTGCCTTATTCTCAGTTTTTGAAAATTTTTATGAGCCCGAATAATGATTAACATTTGAATAAGTTTTTAAATATTAAAAAATTAGATCACGCACGCTTTTCATTTTCACAAAACTGTGACTTTTCTCAATATTGACGTTTTGCTCCTTTTCCAAAATAAGCGTTGACAGCTCTGGCTTCAGAAGGGCTAAAATTGACATAACAGTCATGAGTATAGTTTGTCTAAAATAAGAACTCCCTCAGACGTTCGTCTAGACCTGTGGCGGTGACTATGGTAACGAGGTATGACTATTTCAAGTAGGGGTCACTGCTTTGGAGTGGTTTCGGCTCGGGTCGGCGAGAGAAAGGGAATCTTTTTCTTCGGTCTATTGTGTTAGTCCTAAAGTGAAGCTACCCTCCCTAAAATGCAGCATTCTTCTTTCCACAGCACCAGACGGCCTCTGACTTTGTGGCGGGAGGAGTTCTTAGCTTAGACAAACTATAACAATTGCAAACTCACAGCTGTTAAAAAATAGCATATTATTTGCAAAAAAGCATCATTTTATATTACGGTGGAACCTTCGAAAAACAGCCTTAAGAAGACCCTGTCCCACTTATAAAAATAGTTGGTTTTTATGTAGTTTTTTTTCTTATAAACTGTCTTATTTTTCAAATAAATTTTAAAAATTATCTAATTTTAATGACTGGATATTGAGATATTCTTTTTTTTTCTATTAAAGAAGTATCAAGATTGAATTCGTGGTGTTAAGCTAACTCAATTATTAAGCAGGAAAGAAAGTTAACATTTAAATTTAACATCACAGTTTATTATAAAAAAATAATGAATAAAGTAAAGATTAAGTTAGTTAAAAAAAAAGGTTACATGATTCTAGGATAAAAATAAAATTATTGAAGATAGTCGAGTAGAGTAAGTTCGACATTGGAGAATCAGCGAAAAGCAGCAGGGTGCTGCGGAATATTGCAGAGTACGTCCACACTGGACGGGAGAATAAAAACGACTGGTTGACTAGCCAGCGGTTGCAAGTTATGAGAAAGGTTCACTCTTGTGTTGCCAGTTTCAGAATTACAAAAAGTTTGTAAGTTTCATCTACCGCCATCTAGCGAAAGGAATGATACACAAGGAAAGTTTCTTGTATCGCCATCTGGCGAGAAGCACGGTACACCACAAATTGATTAAAAATTACATTTACCTCTCTTTGCAGTGTAGTTTCTGAATTGAAAAAAAAGTGCAATTTTTTTATTATTTATTTTTACTTTCATTGGGAAACTTAAGGCATTCAAGAATTGATGAGCAGCCTATTTTAATTATAGAAAATATTTATAATTATTTCATAAATTATATTAAAACTGAGGGTTTTTTTCCCCAAACCTACGTTTAATAAATCTAAACTACCAAATTTTAGGCATACGAGAAATGAAAAAGAACCGATTTCAGAAAAAAAAACATTTTGTGTGAAACAATTATTTCACAAATTTTTTTTTAATGATACACTATATCCAAATTAATACCTCATTGAAACTAGGAAATAACAAATATTCTATACAAGAAAGGCTAGTACTTACTTTAAATAATTCAATCCATTTTATTTCATTTTTTATATCCAAAGTTTTTTTAGCGTAATTCACCCATTGAAAATCGAGCATAAAACCCTAAAAGCGGAAGAAAATATTACTATAATAGTTTTTAGTTCTTGGTAATAAAAAATATGAGAATTATCACTTACTAATTCTTCTGCAATATGATTTAGGACAGCTTCAAAATCTTTACTTGACATTAAAAGTCTAAAAGCATCACCAAATTTATCATTATTCAGAGTTTTGATCGAGATTAGACTATCTACTTCTTCAAGGGATTCATCTGAAAAAAACGTGGACTTTTGTTTTGACTATTCTACTTTATAGAATAGAATATAACTAAGTCGATTTTTACAAGAATTGAAAGATTCTATTGCGTGGGAAAAACTACACAAACCCATAGTCTCTTTTTTATTATAATTATATCGTTTCGTTATTACGAGCAATTTGTGAATCTTAGACTTACGTTGTTAATTCAACAACTTTTTTTTAATTGAATACCTGCAAGTAGACCTAAAAATAACCACTCGTCACGTGGCGAGTCAAGGAAAATGAGTGGCGACCTAAATTAAATATGCGGTCACTTTTTCCTATCACTTTATTTGGTATATTTTTTTTTTTTAACAAAAATCGTTTAGTATTAAAAGTACATTATAGCAAAAAGGGATGCTGGAAAACAGAATTTTCATTAAGATGTCCAATGTGGCCATTCAAAATTTTGATCTTTCAGAATCTATCGATTTGTAGTGGAAAGATTAATGTAGAAGGAGAGTTTTTGTACGATTCACCTATTTCAAAGCTGTAATGCATACATTAAATAAATTTTGCCTCCTCAAATATCCTTACATAAAGTTCCTTAAAGTCAGTATGATAGGGTGGGGATGGCCTTGTTGGCAGGGCGCTGGATTCACATTTGTGAGAACGGGGGTTCGGATCCAGCCAGCCGAAAACTCCCAGTATCACAAAATCCTCCATCTTCTCACAACAAACTATACCTCTGGGAGGACTGAATTAGAGATTGATCGTTGTCTGGTTCAGGTCAAAATTACTATCTGTGTATGTATGAATGGGTCAGCCCTATAAACAGGTGTGACAGATGTCAAATCCATGGTGATAGATGGCGCCACTGGAAAACAAGAACAATTGGACCCCTTGCCTTAATGGCCTACGACAACAAGTTAGTATGTTGAACAAAATTCTGTCCGTATTTATATATTTTATTGTTGGATCTTTTTATATCCGTAGATTATTTCTAATATGATTTTTTTTTTAAGTTTGCAAAAGGTGGCTGTTAAATGAAAAGGACCTATCTATAACGATCGCCCACTCATTAGATTTGAGTGGCTACTAATGAATTAGAGTCTGCAGGCCATTGGCTACTGACTGAGAATATAAATTTTCAGGTCGACCTGCCCAGCAACGTCATCGTAGGTAAATCGTGGCATTTGTCGATTCGGAAGCCATTCAGGTACGACATTCACCCGTGACGTCGCTTACAGGCATCCAATTAAATCTGATTTAAATCACATTGTTAGGCATCATCACTTCACTTTTTCTCGAGTTGCAAGTACCAGATTTCAAATATTTCTACAAGTTAATTTCGAATGCAGAATTTTCTTATTCTTAGACTTTAAATAACTACAGCAATAGCATTAAAACTTTGCTGTGAAGTAGAACTTACTTTCGGCACCATTTTTATCTTCCGACACTGTCCTAAAGAGAAGACATAAATATGTAAGCTACGTTATTAATTTTAATGAGAATTGTAATTATCTATGGGTTGAGAAATTACGGTAGTTTTCGTTGCATAAAATATCAATATCAAAGTTTAAAAATGAAATTCAAAGAAAAATAAATAAATCTTAGAAATTCTTTAACCTTGCCATTTTGGATTTTACACTAATTTTTAATTTTATTTATTTATTTTTTTGCTTAATTTTTATGATTTGGAAGCACAATACTTTTTAAAAAATGGTAGATAATATATGGATCGCTTTAATAGATTAAAAGAAATAGCACTTAAAAATGTTTAGAGCTTCTACAGGGTTTTCCTTAAAACTTAAAAGCAATATTTAGCGCTTTGTGTAAGTAATTTAAAACTACATAATCGGGATTTAGATCTGAAAACAACTGTCAGTTTTTAATCTCTTAAAATCTAATTCTTATTACAGATTAAAGTGATGAAAATCAATGTGATGATGTTTAAATATTCTTTTAAAGATAGTTGCACAAAAACAAACATATTTATCAAAAAACTAAAAGCAGACAAATGTATACTATTTAATTGCCTTTCAAAAGCTACTGATTTCAGAATTCTATTTGTATAATTTTGTAAGAAAAAATTAATAGAGAATCTAAAATACAACTCGCTTTAGTGACGTTCCTGATTTTTATAAGTGGAATTGTTCAATTTCTTTTGAATAGAATAAATATCCACCATCAGTTTATTTGTGAAAATTAAATAACTAGGAATCAAAGCATATTTAGAATTTTCCTCCTCCACCCCTTTGACAGTTGAGCCTGAGAGAAAAGGCCTCAAAATTATCTAATTTGAAACCTCGAGAAAATAATAATCATAAAACTAGTCAGAAAATTTCCATTTGATTTCTGTTGAATTACTGTTATTTTGCTAACATTTAAATTTCAGCGTTCATTAGCTGGCTTGCGTTAGCTGGCTAACTTTTTTATTTATACTTTTTTATGTAGAAAAAAAAGCACAATTGGTAGCGTACAAAGGTCTGAAGATATTTGCCCATTAATCGTCACTGAAAGCGATAATTACTAGGGGGAAAAAACGAATTTTAGTAATTTACAAAAAAACATTGGAATCTTACTTTTTTTTAAAATATTTTTTAATTAAATATCCTCAAAAAATTTGATTTACTTTCCGTAAGGAACATATGAATTTTATAGTTGATATTTTTATACAATACTTAATGTCCCTAAACTTCATTAATAAATTTGCCTCAAAATCATAAATTCTTCATGAACTAATCATCAGCTATTTATTTTATATAAAAATAAGAGAATTAAAGTTTTAATATTAATAGTAATTTATTGTATGCCTGGGAATGTTACACGCCACTGAGCACAACAAATATGTTTCAGATTTTTGTTATCTGAAAAGGAACAAAACTTAACTTCATTGTTTACTACTGTATTTTTATAGCTACTAAACTTCATCGCTTACAACAGCATTTTCTTCATAACAAATTGTACTATGACTATAAACATTTTGATCGAGACCTTTCAAAGTATGTTTCAACCAATTTTATCTTATAAAATACCCCGATAACCTGCCATGAGTGAGAAATTCCATCCCCTATAATGAATTTTAACTTTTCCCCCAAAGGTGCAAAGTATGACAAACGCGATCACTCAACACGATTTCAAACAACTTACTTAATAAGATGGTTTTTAAAATAATCAATTAATATTCTGCAGCAGACAGAATGAGCATAACATGAACGAATTCCATATAAGGTATGAATCAAACTTACGATTCAGGCGGTGTCCACGGTAAATGGAGTATTTCCTCGAAAATGAATTGATCTCCTTCCAGAATCTCAGATAGAAGATCGGAGATTTCACATTGCTTGGCTTCAAATACATTTTTATGTTTCGAAACTGCTCGCAAAGTAGCTTGCCTAGTACAAAATAAAATAAAAATATTAAAATAAGGAAATTTGTCTTTGTGGATGACTTTTTGATGAAACTAACCCGCATTTGTGTTACATGGAGAAGAAAACCGCAAAAACCTCCCACGGATAGCCTAACTGTAAGGGGACCCATGATACGTCTACCAATGAGGATATTTTGCGTCAGCACTATGGTCGTTGAGAGCCGGATGCGGAGTTCGTATCGACCAGCCATCGCTGAGATTCGAATCTGGATCACCTCATTGGAAGGCGAATCTCCTGAGTCACAAAATAAGCAGCATGATGAGTAAAGGTTGTGCCACCAGAATAACTTAAAGAGCAAACTGAGTATGCTCTTCCTGTTCTATCGCCAGAAAAAAAAATTCAAACTTTTTCACCGTATACAATTTCTTAAAAAAATATACACTTAAAAATCAATTATGGGAAAGCCTCTGCTCTTTTTTTGGGAAGATTTTAGAGCAATGACTAATGGATTCTAAGAAGGCGACAAAGCAGAATTTGCTCGAGAGGAATGCAGTCGTATTTTCGATCAACTATCTATTGATTGGCGTTAGCGGTTGTCAAAAGTGCGCCTTCAAAGCCAAAAAAATAGCCAACCATTCCTATCTAAAGTAGATTTTGCTACTTAGCTGGCAGGAAATGAGTCAGTAGTTTCTTTAGCACAAAAGACATGCTGCAGAGTCGGGCATAGATTGTAACTAAAAATTATAACCGTTAACGATTGCATAATAGTCATTTACTTGCTATCAGTATAATATTTATCATTTTCTATTAATTTATAATCATTATTACGAGTTGAAAAGTTACGACTTTTAAACAAGTTTTTAAGTGGAGAGAGAGCAGATCAGGATTACAGCAATTGTTTTTTTAGTTTACAAGCCATAACATTTTAAATCAGTAATCATACTTAATCATATATAAACACTAACGCATATATTCCATAAGAATAAAATCAAATCTAATCATGTTCGTTGTCGCTAACAAACCAGCAATATCTATACTATATATCATTTTTAAACTTACCGAGACTTTAAAAAAGTTCTCTTTGCTCTTCAGATCTGAAGACATTACATACAAAGTAATCATCTGATCTATGATTACAAGTAATCACAAGTCTCCGATTACAATTAGAATTGATTGCACTTAGATTTTGTTAGTGCGCAAAAGAAAAAAATATTATAATAATAATAAACGAACCCAAACGAACCCCTGCATAACTTTTGATCTAAGGATCAGATCTCCACGTTCTAGGAATCAAACTTAATAGTTCGAGCGGGTGACCTCAAATATGCTAACTAATTAGTTTAGACGATAGTTTAAGTTACGAAATCAGACACAAAAACGTACTATTTCTGAATAAACAAATTTTTTTTTCGATGGATACGGATTTCTGACATCCAAAGCATAGGGACTAGTCGCAATCTAGGAAATTTGGTTCCCATAATTTGGTCAGGAGAGCGATCCTAAGTTTTGGACTCCTTAAGGCGAATTTTACTTTTTTGCGTACTTCACCATATATCAAGCACTTTTTAAGCGAACTGAAAAAGTTTTGCACACAATTGTAAAAATAGTTTATCGATTCATGCAAAAAATGATTTTTAGTAAATATTTATTATTTTATTTAATAATAATCGAAAAAAAGTTTGAATTGTATGGCATTCAATTTTTTACACCATTTTAAAGAATGTAAAAAATTATACATGGGAAAATACAAAATTTGAGCAAAATCCGTAGAATAGTTTTTGAGAAATCGTCGTATATTTAAAATTCTATCTGGCTCACATTTCCCAAATTACGGTACCCCCTATGTTTTGGATGCCATCAAAATCCGTTGAAAAAAAGGTATATTTATTCAGAAAAAAGAATATTTTTGTGTCCGATTTCATAACTTAACTATCGTATGCACTAATTAACCCTTTTGAAGGCCATAGTAAGTATACTTACCACCACGTTTTACCACTTTTAATTTAGGTTTCCATTTTTCAGTAACTTCAGCTTACTTGAAGTGAGTTTGAATAAAATTGGTAACCATTTGTCACTTTTAAAAAACGTATAAAAGTTATAAAATACATAATTCCTTTTGAAGTTTGTAGCATTTAAGGNTATATATATATATATATATAATAGGTCATGTTAAATATATTTACCACCAAAAAAATGGCATTTTTATAAACTGAATGAGTTTTTTTTTTTAATATCAATTACTATTCTTAAAACAATTTCAATTCCAAAAATACTTTAATTTACCTTTACTAGAAATAAAGGGCCCATTAGAGGGTTAATTAGCCTATTTCGGATCACTACCTCGAAACTTCAAAGTCCTAGAAAATGAAGATCGAAATAAATTTATCCTACCTTTTAATATCCTGCATTACCACAATTTTATTAGCGTACTGACGTTTGGTGTCTCTTCCACGAATTTCTTCTTTTCTAATTTCTTCCGTCAAACTCTGAAGTTCTTCGGAGAGCTCCGTCTTCCTGCTCTCCAGGAAAGAAACGTGGTTTTGAAATTTGGTCAGTTCGGGCATGTTATCTCGGTAGTTACGTTGCATCCAATAAATTGACCTCTCCATATCAGATTTCGTCTTGGTGTAATTATATCTGTATTTCTCGAGCTCCGTTGACAACATCTGCAAATTGCATTAAAAAAAAAACACTACTGTGAAATTCTTTAAAAAAAATATTACACAACTCAAGAATATACACTTTTGAGCTCATTTTGCTAAAAGTGTATGCTGATATTTCTATAAATGAAAAATGTATAGTGCATGTTAGTGCGAAAATGAAATCATTCATTTTCATCCATATCATTCAAAAATGAATCATGTCATTTACGCACAATGTATAGCGCGAAAAGTAAAAGCGTTTGTGCTCTAACTTTTTTTTTATATATTTAAAACTTACATCAGTTCTACATTATTTAGGCTCAAAAAATTGCACAATTTTAGAATAAGACAATTATTTTGATAATTATCATATAGAAGAAATGTCGCCGAAGTGGAGATTTTTATAACAATCTAGATAACTCTTCACGGAAAGATGGTAGATATAATTTAAATTAATTTTCCTCAGTGAAAGAGCTTCGAAAAATCATCCGTACTGCAGCAAACTTCAAATGACAAACATTTCAGAAATAGGGTCGCTTCTTTCCATTTTTGCAAAAAAAATCTACAACTCTTAAAACAAGAAACACTGCTACTTACCATTAAATCTTCGTAGGCTTTCTTCCACAGTATTGCAGTTTCTATTTGATCTGCTAGAAATGCATTGCGAAGATCTTTGGATGTTATTGCTTCTACTCTCTCATTGCATAAATCCATTCGAAGACTCTGAAAAACAAAAACTCGGAAGTTTTTACACATTAGCTTGAATGATAGTTTATCTACATTCGGGTGCAATCCATCATACACCCTCAGAATATCGGATTCAACGGTAAACCATGGCCTCAGATTTAAATGAGATGTAGCTTAAATCGTGCTTCCGTTCAAATTGAACCGTAGAGTTATGCAATTATTTTAAAATGGTTTAATTTGTGTGACCGTATGGCTCAGTTTTCAACTTGGCACCATATTAAGGTTGCTGAAAATATCGGTAGATGTTGCATTCTTACTGATGTCGCTGTTCGGTCGTAACGTCCCTTTTTTTAATGATATCATCATCTTGCGCTCTGTGGTGCAAGCTCAGGCAATGAGCATTTGCCTACCGATGACGTGACCCAGGTTTGAATCCCAGCAATTAGTAGTCGATGCGGAGTCTGTTCGCGGATTACACCTGTCACAGTGCTGAGGTAAAATTCGTCTACCACTATCTTTAGTGGTAGACGAATCATGGATAAGAATTCTCTTGCCACCAGGTGAACCGTTGATTTCCGTGGTTTTTCTTCTCCGTGTACAAATACGAGTTAGTTTCATCAAAATGTCCTCAGCGAAGGCTAGTTTGTTTCCTTGTTTTCAGGGATATAGGTTCAAAATTATAAGGCTACGGAATTGAACGTTGACAGTCGTATATCCAAAAGTGGATTGGCTGTTCAACGCCGGTTTTTAGTTCAAATCAATTTTAAGAAAGCCGTGGGGGGTTCAGGGGAACGAATTCTACTCCCGGGTCGCACCGACCTTAGTGTTCACATTACGAAGATCATTAAGCAATATCCATATTTTCTTTAAAATAAAAATAAAAAATTGGTCACAGAGTAGAGTAAACAGATGGACTCCGTTACTGAGCGATAATAACTTATGTTCTGTTTTGCAATTACTGGAAATAAGGTTGTAACAGAATTCGTTTTCAAATTAGGTTGGGAAAAAATTTTAATGAAGCTAAACATGAATTTTGCATTCGGGTGACTGAAAAAATAACTTATCTCTTAATAAATGATAAAGTAATTTTTTTCAGACGACGCCTCGAATTTTACAAGCATTTTGCAACCCATACAGGTAGCTTGTATCACCTTTCCAAAAGTGCTGATTATGAATCACCCTTTAGCTTTTAGCTGAAATAATGAACTCACTTTTTTGTCAATGTCTTCGTATGTAGCATCAATTTTACGAGACCATGTTTTTCCTACATCGGTTACGTAATTAGAAATGGAATCCTAAAACATAAAAGAATTGGTAGATAATATTCTTCTGCAATCAGAAGATTACAGAAAAATGTATTATTTTATATAATAGCACTTTGTGATTCAGCTCATAAATGTATGTCATTTTTATTTATTTATGAAAAATGTGGGAATAAAAATGATTTCAACAACGTTTTACCGTTGGATGACAGAAATTAAAGCCAAATGTTTGGTTCTGAAAATGCTAAATGTTTCTCTGTTCAAAATATTGAATAGTCTGAGTTTTTGATCCGATTGTCTTCACACTTAATGAATAACTATTGTTTTATTTTGGTTAATTATTATTATATTAGCACTGTCTTTGGGACTTGTATGCAATTTGATAGGGCTGTAAGCTATTGCTTTCAAACATTTCGTACAAAGCGGAAAATATAAAAAAATTGACCACCCTGAATAACTTTTGATCAAAAAATTTTCAATTCGCTTAAAAAGTTCGAAAGATATGGCGAAACTAAGGGGTCCAAGCTTTGCATCCCTTTCCTGGCTAAAATATGGGGACCATATTTTTCAGATTGCGATTACGCCCCATATTTTGGGGATCAGAAATCCGAATCCATTGAAAAAAAAGATAGGTTTATTCAGAAAAAGTATCTAATTTCGTTTTGTGTCTAATTTCGTAAATTTAAATATCATCTGCCCTAATTAATTTGTATATTTGAGGTCACCTTTTCGAATCATTAAGAATGAGTCCTAGAACGAGACAATCCGATCATTAAAATCTCAAAAGTTATTAAGGGTGGTTCGTTTTTTTTTATTTTGCACAATGTACATATCTGAGAGAGGTATTAAAAGTACCTCAGCAAAAAATACAAATTCATTGATTTTGAGTTTAAAAACTTGTTAATAATTTTCTATTGAATTTATGGTTTGTATCTCTTTTCAATTAATTCTGTTCTTACAATTTAATTAAAAAAGATTAATTTAAAAAATGTGATTAATTTTAGCTTTAAGCATTCATAAGGAGTTTGTTCCACTATTCGATTATATTTCGTGATATATATATATATATCATTCAAAAATGAATCANACTTCAAGTTCAGGATAGATATACTTCTTGCTACTTTCAGACAAAATATATACAGTAGAATATCGAACGTCGATTCACCAGATTGTTCAATTATCCGGATTGTTCAAGGATTGATTCGTGTTTTTTACACCTTATTCTTGTTGTTCTTCTTCTTCAAAAAAAAATAAATATATATATTTATGTATATATATATATACATATATATACATATATATTAAACCATAACCACCTAAGATTAAGAATTAGCACGAATATCATTTTTGTTGAAATAATTCTAAATATGTTTATATTTTGTACTCACAGAAGTTTTAAGATTAAAGGCCCTAAATATTTTTACAAATTTACATATTTGTTAATTTCACATTAGAGATGAGCAAGTACCAGTTTTTTCGGTATCAGTAACAAATGGTTGATGATTCATGTTGTCAATTAATCTCATATTTAGGCTCAAATTAATTAAAGGGGTGAAAAATTAAGTAATACAGTAAAAATCCGTTATAGCGTAGTGACAATTCATATCCTCCTGAAATCCAAGTTTAAAATAAAGGCAGAACTTAGAAATCTGTAAACTTTTTTTTCTTCTTAGAAACTTTTACTTACTTGTACTTAAAAATATGTAACTTAGAAGAAAAAACTCATAAGTTGGATATTTTTTTCAAAAATTCCCTCAATCAAACGTAGTTAGCTTTTTTTTTTAATTATTATTAAATATTACATAAGAAAATGATGAATTTTAGTTTTTTACAATTATTTTACATTCTAGGATAATTTTTATTAAGAAAAAAGTTTTGGTGAGAAGAGTTCGAAATATATTTGAGAATATACTTTGAATCTGAAAAAGGAGATTAAGCTTGAAGAAAAAATACTAAAAAAAAATGAAATGGATTAACACTTTGACGCCGAATTTTAATTAAACATATTGTTCATACTTTTTTTATTATTTTGTAATAATTTAGGTCAAAATAAAAAGGAAAAATATTTTAAATAGCATTTTAATAATTTATGATCAGCATGAAACACCGGTGTTTTTTTCTGTTGTAAAAATAAAACACAACTCACCTTCAAACAATAATTTTTCAACTTATTTACAGTTATTTAGATTTAAGAGAAACAGTTATTCATTATTGAAATTTCTTTAATTTACAAAATCAATTGTTCATTGATTTTTTAATATGAATGAAAAAAAAGTTTTTTTCTAACTACTTTCTTTGATTTATATATTTTAGTACAAATATAATTCAGATAATCTAACAGTTTATTTTTACTAACATTTAGACTGTTTTTTATAATTAAAATTACCAAAATATATTTTTACCTTTAATTAGAACGTTGGAAAAATAGAAATATAAAAGGGACATCTGCCCACAAAATCTTCCATCTAGAAAAACATAAATATAAAAGGACATCTGTCCTTTTATATTTTTCCAGAGGGAAAATTTTATTGTTGCAGGAAAGATTTCGCAGATGGCGCATCTGTCTCATTTGCGTCAAAGGGTTTAATCGAAATCGTAAATGTAAACAAAATTAACTCATTTCAGAAGGAAGTCCATATTTTCCTTAGTTTTCCATACCTTCAAATTATCGATTTCCTGGTCTCCTGCTTTTTCCACTTCTGATAAATATCTTTCAATTTCTTCCATCATGGACTTCTGCAATAGCATTTGTTCTTTCTCTCGCTTTGTGCAAATTTCATATTCCAAATGAAAGTACTATAAAATCGAATGAATATAACAATTTCAAACAAAATGAAATAACACTGCACAACAATTTGAACATGTTTGTTTATTTTTTACATTAATTATTTGTTTTCTATCCTTTAGATGAAACTATGAGAAATGATTTCTGTTTGAACACAAAGGAACTTGCTTCGTGTATCAAAAACAAAACAGTTTTTGGCGTTTCGTTCTCGTAGAAGAAAAGTCGCCACGCTTAGATTGAATTTTTCGAATTTCTCTCTTCTTAATACATTCAGGAATCCTTGTTAACGTATGAAAAATAGGTAAGGCATTAGTTACCAAAAATGACACGAAAAATCGCTGATTTTATGATGGGTCCCATTGTCAATGCGAGCTGCTTGAGGACTCTATACCACGTAAGAAAATACTTAGCTAATTCTCTTTCAACTTCATAAGTAATTTAAAATTTATAGTATTGAAAAAGTGAATTCGAAGATAGAGTGGTCTGCCAGAAAAGAAATTTTCAAAATATCAAAATGAAAGTAAATTATGAGAAGATAATTCAAGATAAAGGAAAGCTCTTCTTCCAATAATTTGCTTGCATTTTGAAATTTCTTTTCGAAAGCAATTTTCAGCAATTGAAACTTCAGGGCTCACTCTAAATTTGCCTCACTTTTCCATACTTCAAATTTTAAATTAGGCTGACCAGGTGGCCGAGTGGTTGGCGTGTCTGATTGCGGAGCCATTGGCCGCGGGTTCGAATCCTGCTCAGGGTATGGATGTTTCTTTCTCTCTCTCTGTGTTCTATGTCCTTTCTCCTTTGTGTATGATAGTGTGAATGTGACCCACCCTATAAACGGGTTTGTGGTTGTGTGACGTAGGCGACGCTGCTCCACCGCCGTGGCTTCGCCACAGGTGCCCACTGGGTAACGAGAAAAGAGTAGTAGTTCTGGCGTTCCTGTGGCCAATGGGACAATCCCCAAGTGCCCGACATTAAAAAATTTTTTTAATTAGTTATGGAGGTAAAAGAGTGGGGAAAAAGAGTGGATTTTAGCTTGATGCGAGCAAAAAATAATTACAACTTCGTTATTTTAATATTTTCATCTAAAAAGAAATTTTCATGTTAAACAGTGTGATCGCACAAATATATTTATTCCCTACCTCTTCGCAAAGACCAACTATTTCGTCAAACTGCTTAAACACTTCCAGGCATTCTTTTTTCCTCTCTTCAAGAAACTGAAATATAATATTTTAAATTTTTTATATTATATATATTAATTATTTATTATTGTTAAACAGATTAGCTGCAATAAAGATTATTCTTAATCATTAATAGCAACATGTAATGATTACGTGAGGTACGTTTATTTGCGTCGCACGATGGGATATTAGTGACGGTGTAGGAAACATCCCTGAGGATGATCCGGAGACAACATATATACGTCACATCCCGTTTGACAGGGATTACACATTAACACACCATAAATCCATCCATCGCAATTTTAACCTGCACTGGAACAAGGAGATTAGGCTTGNTGAAAAAGTGAATTCGAAGATAGAGTGGTCTGCCAGAAAAGAAATTTTCAAAATATCAAAATGAAAGTAAATTATGAGAAGATAATTCAAGATAAAGGGAAGCTCCTCTTCCAATAATTTTCTTGCATTTTGAAATTTCTTTTCGAAAGCAATTTTCAGCAATTGAAACTTCAAGGCTCACTCTAAATTTGCCTCACTTTTCCATACTTTAAATTTTAAACTAGGCTGACCAGGTGGTCGAGTGGTTAGCGTGTCTGACTGCGTAGCCATTGGCCGCGAGTTCGAATCCTGCTCAGGGCATGGATGTTTCTTTCTCTCTCTGTGTGTTCTATGTCTTTTCTCCTTTGTGTGAATGTGACCCGCCCTATAAACGGGTTTGTGGTTGTGTGACGTAGGCGACGCTGCTCCACCGCCGTGGCTTCGCCACAGGTGCCCACTGGGTTACGAGAAAAGAGTAGCAGTTCTGGCATTCCTGTGGCCAATGGGACAATCCCCAAGTGCCCGACATTAAAAAAAAAAAGAAAAGAAAAAAAATTTTTTTTATTAGTTATGGAGATAAAAGAGTGGGGAAAAAAGTTTCTCCCGTGACAATGTGCGTAACAATAATAAAACGTGGATTTTAGCTTGATGCGAGCAAAAAAAATTACAACTTCGTTATTTTAATATTTTCATCTAAAAAACAATTTTCATGTTAAACAGTGTGATCGCGATTCAAATATATTTATTCGCTACCTCTTCGCAAAGACCAACTATTTCGTCAAACTGCTGAAACACTTCCAGGCATTCTTTTTTCCTGTCTTCAAGAAACTGAAATAAAATATATTTCAATTTTTTTTATTATATTAATTATTTATTATTGTTAAACAGATTAGCTGCTATAAAGATTATTCTTAATCATTAATAACAACATGTAATGATTATGTGAAGTACTTTTATTTGCGTCGCACTGGAGCAGCACGATGGGATATTAGTGACGGTGTAGGAAACATCCCTGAGGATGATTCGGAGACATACGTCACATCTCGTTTGACAGGGATTACACATTAACACACCACAAATCCATCCACAGATCGTAATTTTAACCAGCACCAGAACCCGATTAATATCCGATCCAGTACCCCCAGAGGTTTGATTTGTTAAGGGTACTTGGAAGACTTTGTGACCCCAACAGATATAGCGAGCACCAGCCACCATTTTGTAGACGGGAAGTTTTCGGCTAACAATGATCGAACTCTCCAATCCCGGCCCCAAATGATTATGTAAATTTGATAAATTTCTATTAATTGTGGAACGAAACTCATAGATAAGCACTCATAAATTCAAGCAATTCATAGATAATCACTAAATTCACTTAAACGTGAAATATTTTTTCACAAATTATGCCTTTTAATTTACTTGTGATTACGCAAATGCATTAATCTAAGTCAGTGAGTATTTTCGATTACGTAGAAATTAATAGAAAAAAAGGGTGTTACAGTGAAAATACAGCGTTCAGTGATCGCGTGGGTGACCCCTTTGATCAACCTATAAAGGGACCGAGTATACGCGGTATCAGTCCTCAGTAAACTGTTCGACCGTAACGTCGAGAGGAGACCAGGTTGTCGAGATATTAAGGCGGGGCCTCCTCTGGAGAATCAAAATTGTGATGGCATGTCTTCAGATCATCCTCAAGGAAATAAAGGTTGAAGGTAGAACTAATAAAAATGTATTCAGAGATGTTTACCAGATAGTCGCCAATAGCCTATCATCGATATTAATAGCAGCTCTAGAGCGATGTAATTTAAGTACCACTACAATGAAAATAAATTACTTTTCAGTATTTCGCATTACTCTGAATTTCAAGGAGGGCTTACATTAATAATTTTGTTTATTTTTAAAAAAAAATACAACAAAAAGATTTATTTATCCATGTTGATGAACAAATAAGTAAAAATTTGAAATGCCTGGAGCAAATGTCTCAGAAAATTATAGTCCTAATGAGATCGATCCATCCATACATCTACCCATTCCACTCCATTCATCCATGAATTCCATCTATAAATTCTATCCGTCCATTCATTAATTCATTCCATTCATTTATAATGTGAATAATTCGTAATTCTTGAATTTAGTTACATTATTTTAAATTAAATGCGATGATACAATCCATACTTAAATGTATATCCCTTCGGTAATTTGTTCAATATATTGTTATTGGAAAAAAATATAACTATATATTCTAAAATTTGCTATTTCCTTTTTATTGGGGGGGGGGGGATTTTACTTAAACAGTTTCGTAATAATTATAATTAATTATTAATTTCGAAATAATCGTAATAATAATTATTTATTAAACAAATAATCAATTATTGATTGGATACAAACTTATTACTGGCTTCAAAAAAAATTATTACTGATTTAAAAATGAAAGTTCATGTGATCTTTCCACTGAACACCTTTTGGGAACAGCTCATCTAGACAAGTGAGATATTGTATTTCTCATACTGAATAGAATGAGACTAAAAACTAGATCTATAGTACTAATAGTATTATAGATATGAGTTACTATAGTGCGGCTTTCAGGAGAACTCCTCCAGACACCCGTATCGCGTCGTGGCGGGTACTAAGGTTACGAGGAAGGGTCACTTCTAATAGGGATGTGAGGTGAATAGTTTGGTCTTAATCTTACCGTAGGTCGTAGTGAGTAAGCTAATCGACACCTTCCTTCCTCCATTTCACCCACATTAGAAATGTGCTCGCGCTTGTTACCAGAGTAACAGATAGCCTCAGACTTTCAGTTTGGAGGAGATTTCCTCAAAGCCGCACTATACTATTTCATAGGTGTAGTATAAAGATAGCAATTTTTTTTACACACTTATTAGCGCATCTGATATTGTTTCCTTGTGTTTTTATGCTGTGTTAAATGAAACCCAACCAAGTCAATAGAGCTAATGATTCATAAGTGATAAAAAAATTATGCTTAAAAAGTACAGTTTCGTACTAGCACGTTTTTTTTACGCATCTGACACTGCTATATTGTCTCATTTCGAAGGAAAGTGCATACGTCAACTGCCCATATTAAAGCAAAAACCCCGACTTCTAAAATAATTTCAAGCCTTTCCGCAAATTATTTCCGTATTCTCAGGAACTCAGGATCAGGATATCCTCAGGAACTCAGGATACCTCAGGAACTGGTCTAGGATACAGAAGTACTTACTTCAAGCAAATGAGGCGACACTGTGCTCACGTCAATATCAGCCAACACCTACAGGAAAGGAATGACACTTGAAAAAAATATTGGAATTAAAACAGTCGTTAATTAAACAGTCGAAATCATCTTAACAGTTTGGGGGTAATGAATAATGCATGTCTTACTTTATGAAATTCTTCTTCGGCTACCTTATCAGCTCCATGTGTACTGCTCAGTTTTTCAAATATGACAGCTACGTCATTTTCTGTTTGCGTCTTCTCGTCATCATCACAAGTCTTCACATCAGAGACTTGCTTACTTTCATATCCATGAGTTATAGCATGTTGAAACGGATACAAATCTTCGAAGATTTTAACCATCTGGAAAAAAATAGTTACTGAGTGATGATTTCACCTGCGCTTCTGTGAATGAAATGAAATAAAAAATTGCATGTTAAATCTTTCAATGTGTTTATATTACAGTAAAATGGAAGTTTCAACTTGTTCTGCGGATGCTTGTTAAATATATGACAATATTTTTTTAATGAATAATGATTTTGAACAAAAGTTCTGATTTCGGAAAATTCACATTTCGACAGGTATTTTCAGACAATATTGAAGCTAAACTTCTAAGTATCCTGTCATCATCTTCAAAAGTGATTTTTGTGGAAAATATTAATAGCTTTTATCACTGAGGCGGCTCATTTGAAACTGGTATAACATTAAAATATTAGCCATAAGTGTCTAAAAACAGTTAATATTTTTTTTGTTTTAAATTTTGTTGAGTCTTAAACTGTAAGTATTAAAAAAAAGCGTAAGCTTATGAGCGTAACATATCAGGGTTAATAAGGCAGAAAACATTTCATAACATTTGCAAAAGAATCACATTATAACACTGGTTTCTCATTATAAACGAGTGTCACATTTTTCGAAAAATACTTGTGTATATCTAGCAATATTAATAGAATTTTTTTTTTTTTTAATTTTTTTTATTCAAACATTTTTTTTCACAAGAAAATATTCTCTGTAACTGTCTTTAAAACGCTTAATTCACAAAGACATATTTATTAGTTTTATTAGCAATAAAAAGAAAAGAATCAGGATAATTTTTCTATAGCAATCATTGCTTAAAGTGGTATCAATAGAGTTTCAGAATTACGAGGGAGAATTATTTATTTTTCACTTAATTTCCCTCCAGAAAGTTGTTTTAAAGCCTACTCGTTTCCTGGTAGTAGTAGTAGAAATTAACCAGTGCCGAAATAGCGAAGATTTATTTCCAACATACGAAAGATTTCATAGGGATATAACCTTTACCTTAATTATAAAGGGTGGTCGAAAAATATGAAAACGGTTGAATTTATCAAGAGCTACGCATCAGACCAAAAATCTAAAAATACATTTCAAATTTCCAAAAATATATACGATAATAGAAATAAGAATCATCATCACTGGTGGCATCAAGATGGGTCTACTTTAGAAGATATTTCCAGTCCGCTTTTTTGCAGGCTACTGTCCTCCGGTAAAGAAATAATAAACTCGATATAGCATCTCGAAGGTAGGGCGTTTATCTTATGTAAGAACATATTTTTTATTGCAGATTCTCCGGAGGAAAATACCTCAATTTAATTTCGCATTTCAATATACGAATGGCATTGTAATCGAAAAAAAGATTATATTTCGGAATATGCACGCCAGATCGAAAAAATAAAAATTGTTATGTACTTATAGGTATGTTTTTGAATAACCAGTACGGCGTGTTTCTCGAGATGGTCTCACCTTAGCTTCCCATTTCTGCTTTTCCTCTTCAAAGACATCTTCAACATCCATGATATCGGAACTGTTAAAGTAGTTAAAATATTATTTAAAACCGATTACAGAGTAAGAATCAAAATACAAACGATGAATACTCTTTCTCCACCCCCCCCCAAATAAATAAATAATAATAAAAGTCGCAAAGAGAAGTATATAACAAAATATGATTTCTAAGTATTTTATTTAATTTTAGTTTTAATACCAGAATTGAATGACTAACAAACAACGTTGATTTATGCCATTTTATATACAGGGTGATTCTAAAAAGATAGGCAAAATTTTAGGAAGTGATAGTACACACCCAAGCAAACAATTTTTATCATGGAATGCATGGTCGAAAACAAAACGCAAAGGTGCTGGTGCATTTGGAAAGTTGTTTAATGCAAACCTGAAAGCTCCATTCCTGTTGCGAGTTACTGCGCTGCGTTACTTGTTGCCAAGATTTCGGCCGCTGCAGAGAAAGATCATGAATTGCCTGGTGTGTTTCAGAATGTTCGTCTATCTTTAATTCGCCGTTGTGCTGCGTGCATAGCCGCTGCCGGCCACTGTTTTGAACACTTATTGTAATCACGTGCCATTAAATTTGCTTTTATAACTTAACTTCATCGCTCATTGTGTGTTTTTGACTCATACAAGAACATAAACTTTGACGCCCTCTAACAGTCTTGCGTTTTGTTTTCGACCATGCATTCTTCGATAAAAATTGTTTGCTTGGGTGTGTACTATCACTTCCTAAAATTTTTCCAATCTTTTTAGAATCACCCTGTATATATATATTCTAGATTTCATCAGACATGCCAGGAATTTACCGGATTTCGAGTCTTTACCACAACACTTATAAATATTTTTCCATATATAGTATATATGTTTCCATTTTCTTTAGTGCAGGTCGTCGGGCTACCGAAGCGGGGGTGCCATCCCCTCTGCAGAGGATCAAAATTGTGATGGCATGTCTTCGGATCATCCTCAGGGATGTTTCCCAGACCGTCGCCAATAGCCCATTGTGCAGCTCTAGTGCGACGTAATTTAACTATAACTACAACAACAAAATTTTCTTTAATTATAACTAATTATTTGTACCACAGGTTATATAATCAATTCTATTTTTTTCGTGCGTAATAAAAACACACCTCATTCACAGAGCGAAACTTTTAATTTTCTAAGAAGTTTTTCTACGCAGAAACTGAGTAGGATTTTTTTTTTTAAACTCTAAATTGGCAATTCTAATCATATCAATTTTACACCTCATTAAAATGAAATGCATAACTATTTTCAAAAGCATGCATTTTAGCTTGAAAAATTCCAGGCAGAGAGCATTCATAAGTGTTATACATATCAATATGGGTGGTGTTTTCTACACCAAGCAGCCCTGCAAGCTCGATACCTTGGCCAACAAGGATCCATACCTGAGCCAAGCTCGATACCTAAGGAGTTAGCGGATTGCGCGAATGGTTTTTTAAAACTTGGTGGACTGCGCTGCTAACATCTTATGCTCCCTTCAAAAAAAAGGTTGGTGTACTGTGCTTAAAGCAATCCTTGTGACCATCCCTCCTATTTCATTCATGCAGTAAAACATTTTCTGATAAAATCGTGGTCTCGTCAATTATAATCGCCAGAAGCAAGGGTGCAGTGGAGATGTGCTAATTAGCGCTCCTTTTTATTTTTTGGTCAATTATGCAATTTTCATTTAATAGCAACTTTTTAACCAATATTCTCGAAAAAATTGCATTTTTCCAATTAAAATTTAGACTGATTTCCAAAACTTCAAAAGTTCTTTGTCACCTTAAAATTAACAAAAACAATTTTTTTTCATTGTTTAAATATAGTATGTATTTTAAAATTGCAGAAAAAAAATTTTGCAACACAAAATTTTTTATATTAAATGATAATAGACTAAAAAATGGAGGAGCACTGACTAACATATCCCCCTCCCACTCCACAACTGCTTCTGGCGATTATAATTGGCGAGACAATGGTTTTATCAGAAAATGTTTTAAATGCATGATTGAAATAGGAGGGATGGTCACAATGGCTGTTTGAGCGCAGTACACCAACCCTATTTGAAGGGGGAATATGATGTTAGCAGCGCAATCCACCAAGTTTTAGAAAACCATTCGCGCAATCCGCTAACACCGAAATAATCAGACGGAGTTGTGCAAAGCTCAGTGAATTTTGCCAAGCTTAAACTTATGTTCAGGGCTCTATCTAGCTATAGTATTGAGCATTAAAAATCAATTTGAAATTGCGACTTTTCGTTTGCTCGCTGCTAACCGAAAAGTACCTAAAGAGGCTTTATCGACCCTTAAGTTTTCAATTGCTCTTGAAACATACCTTTCAATACTGCTGTCAACATTATTATCCATTCCGCTGGTCAAAAAACTTCAAAAGAGTATTTCAGTAAGGAATTACAAATATTTCAGTAAATGGAGATAATGCTATGATTAAGTCGGTTGAGATGCGATTATTAAACAGTTATTTTTAAAACTTTACTAATGTTTAAAGATTTCCAAACAACAAATCTATATTTAAATGTACATACAACTTAGAACTTAACAAAATTGTTGAAGAGTGCAACGAGCTCTTTACATTAGCTTATCTAACCAAATTTTCGATAAGCACTTAATATAAGTTCTTTATTTGCTGAAAACAGAAGAATAATTTTAAATAATTTAATAATTTTTTTTACTTACTTTTGCCAACTTTACTAAATGTTACCAGTAATAATGATTTTTCAAGTAAGCAACAGCAAGTTTCAAATTGGCAGCGAGATAAGTCCCACCAAAAAGATTGATACTCTAACAAGTATGCAATGAACACTAACAATGAACTACAACAAGTATACTCAATACAAAAACGGCTTATATGTCCGTCTGAAATTGAAGAACAGATAGCTCAAATTAAAGATGAACATCATGAAGGTAGGTAGGTACTTTATTTACGTCGCACAAGAGCTGCACAATGGGCTATTGACTAGGAAACATCCCTGAGGTTGATCCGAAGACATGCTATCGCAATTTTGATCCTCTGCAGAGGAGATAGCTCCCCTGCTTTGATAGTCCGACGACCTGCGATTGAAGTCGAGTACTTAACGGTAGAACAGTTTAACTAGGACCGATACCGCGCACCCTAGGTCCCTACACAAACTGATCAAATTTTTCACCCACCCGCTAACTGACCGCAGCTAGTAATTCTAGACTTTGGTGTTATACAGGGAACTTTGCCTTTACGATCAGTCTACTACGGGACGGACATCACGAAAATACACTCCGGTTGCAGCGTGATACGAACCCACTACCTCCACGCATTTGACGGATGATATCACTCGGTCAGGGAGGCTCCGGAGTTATTTAGTTTCCATCGCTACACACACAAATACAGGCTTGTATACTCATTATAAGCTTGTAATCCTTTGTCAAGTATAATAACAGATAGCACAATTCAGAGAAAAACAATATGAAGATACCTCCAGGGTTACGGAGGGATTTGAACCCACTACTTCCACGCTGCAGACAAAACCACATGGCTAAGAAGGTCCTATTTGTTCGAATGAATTGAAGTTTTATATGCGTATGCGATAAATTCTTTACTGTATGAATCACTTACTATTTTGTATCTATAAGACATTAATTTAAGGAACAGAATCAGGTTTGCAAGATAACAGAACGTAGGTCCGTGACCTGACATCACTAAAACACTTCGCTTACTCAATAGACCCATAGATGAGCTCTAAATTATAACGGCAAAATTAGAACTAAATATATCTTTCACTTACAATGTAAAAATCAGGAATAAAGTTATTTTATATATTTAATACATATATTTGCAGGTTTGGTCCAAGATATACTTCCTCGTCTTACTGAGAAACAGCGCAAATGACAACAGATGCCATTCAGAAGAGACTAAATAAAATAACTAGATTTACGACTGGAATTGAACATGCTACATTGCAGAATCGGAATAAATGTAAAGTTTAAAAACACAACAGGTTTGAACGATTTGTAATGTTAATATAATTGCGCCCAAACTAGAATATTTGAAGGTAATGAAATCAAACAGTGTCACTGACTAAATCTGGAATAAACGGATAAAGGAGGAAACAGATTAAAAGCAAAAACCAGTAGGATGAGTTGCTTTTAGGTAGTGAAAATGAAAGAAATTCTTAATTTTAATACCTATAAGCAGTAAAGCAGTGAAATAATGTCAAATGATTATGCTGAAATTCGGACACCATCACAATGAACAAGAATTTTAATTAAACATAAATTTTAGAAACCGATCATTTTTTAGATATTAGAATGTTACTTAATTATATGGCTTAACAATATGAGAGCAGAACATACAACTAGAGGTCCTTAAAATGTTTTAAGAGATGCATTTGGTTACAGAATGAATGTATGACCTCTTTCAAAAGTTCGCTTTCAGCTGCATGTTTATAATTTTTCAGTTTGTGGTTTTATAATTTCAAAGAACAAATTATGCTTACATTAGGAAAGATGTTATTTCTAAAATACTAAAATTTTACCAAAGCTTAATGATTTCTTAATTCGGCAGGAGGCGCGGATGGCACAGTGGCTAAGACATTGAATTATCATTGCTTCGATTCACATTCAGACTGATGGGAGTTGGTCTGGAAAATTGGCGATCGAAATGGGCTGCAGGTGGTGTAGAGCAGAATTCTCTACCTATGGCAACACTTCATATGCTTTCCCCATTAGCGTGTAGAAAGTCATAGATAAGCAAGTACGTTAGTTTCTCTCGTGAATTTCATATAGTTTAAAATCTTTTAAGTTGGAAAACTACAGGGAACTCCAAACCACATTAAACATAGTTCTAAAGAAAAGTATCGCGGAAATTTTAAAAAATATTTTTATTAAATAAAAAGGAAAAATATTAAGAAAAGGGAGAATATCGTAGTACATTTCTATACAACTGAAAAGAGGAGGAGAGGGAAGGGCTAAAGGCAGGCCTGTAGCCAGGGGAGGGACCGTCGGGACAAATCCCCCCCCCCGAAATTCTGGGATTCAAACTTTTTAGTCTTTCTCTGAGCCTCTCAGTAAAAAGAAAAACCTTTTCCCAGTACACCACCTTCGCTAGTGCATCATCTTCACTTGACCTTGTGGCTCATCTTTCCTTCGGTTAGACTACTCCCCCAAAATCAATTGTTTTTCAGCATATTAATTTATGCAATTTCCGAATTTACGCATATTTCATTGACATAGAAAACCTCATGGGAGAAATGGAAGTATGGGCATCAAAGTGGAACCGGCTTGAACCCCTTAGTAGACCAGATACGGCACTTTCAGCAATGGAAGAATGTGACAGTATCTTTTACCAAACATTTATTGCTTGTTATCAATATTAGCAACGTTGCCAATCACCACAGCAACTGCAGAAAGAACTTTTTCTACTCTTTTAAACGCTTAAACAATGCAACAAGAAATGCTACTAAAGAAGAAAGGCTAACAGGGCTAACTTTATTAAGCATATTTCGGGATATTCCGGTTTGTCCTAAAAAAGTAATCGAAAATTTTTTTTCAAATCCCCGTCGCATGTCTTTGTAAACTTTGTTTACAAATTGATTATAATTATTATGTAATATTAATTGAAAAATAATTATTATGTAATATTTTTTAATTNGACAAATCTTAAGTTTCTGTACGATTTGAATAACAAAGGAAAAAAAGTAGTGATTGACTGGTGTATGAATGAAGGTTTAATTAGTAATAGATATAAATGTCCTGTTTGTGGGAAAGATGTCTCTGGTTGAACGTAAAGATTGATCAGATGGATTTGAATGGGTCGTGTGAAAGGTTCAAATGCTCCCAACATAAAAAGATCTATTAGAAAGGGATCGTAGTTTAGACAGTACCTAACTGCAATTAGAGAATTCTGTGCACCAAAATCTGAAGATATTCAAGCTTAATGAAGAAGTGAGTTATTTTTCTCTTTTTCTTTCTGTGCTTACTCCATTAATTTTTGTTTCGATTCAAAATGCATTTTAGTGGGTTTATTAATTTTGATTCAAATCAAGACTGCCAAAAAAGCGAGTTATTCAAAATCTAGCAACCATGTCACCTTTTTTAATAATAAATAACAAAATAACTAAAACAAATTTTCACTCCAAACTCCCCAGAATTATATAATAACATTAATATCTTATGAAATACGGCAGATTTGAGCTCAGAAATTATTTAATTTATTTCTTTCATTGAAAACAAAATTATCCGTTTGAAAACATCGCCTATCAGAATAACATGTAGCAAGCAGCTGCAAACTTTTTAACCGGAACTAGAGTAGGTGCCGAGCTCGAGATTGTTATTGTTTACATTCCTATTGAAAACACCATCCATAAACAATATTTGTTACAATGTTTTCCTCCTACTTTGCATGTCTGTAACTGTCCTTGCTTCTTACCATATCCCCCCCCCCCGAAAAAATACCCTGGCTACGGCCTTGGCTAAAGGCACGAAACCGGTCTCTCCTCAGATGACATATTCGAGTGTTGCTGACAGCATTAACTTCTTGCCGTCGGTCTTGAAAATGTGGACCTTAAGCTCCACGATTCCCTTGGCGAACGAATAACTGTTGTAGGAGCACTTTATTAATTTGACCACTTTTTTTAAACTCTTCATAAAATAAAAAAGTTCGTTACATTTATTGTTATTAAAAAATACTAGAAATAATTATATTTGCTTCTATGAAATTGATAAAAATTAATTCGCCGATTTATTTCATTAGAACGGATTTAGGAATGATTAAATAATAATTATAAATTTATGAAATAACGAAAAATTAAAAAAGTAAATTTTAAAAAAAGTAAGATTAAAAACTAGGAAAATTGTAAGGCCTATAATGGCATCACAGAAGTGGTTTTGGACAGGACCCATTTGATGGGATGGGTAGGTACTCTGAGGTGAAAAGATATTGGAGTGTCAAACATCCGCTGATGATACATTGATTTTTTTCTCTTTTGTATTCTTTTACGCTTATTTAATTTTTTTATTATTCTGGTTCCTTGTTATTTTATAGACGTTTGTCATTTTCATATGACATGAGTAAAAAAAAACTTTCAACTTCCCAGATTCAAGCCCGCAATTTTTTTCCAACTATGACTTCACAGCTCTGCTTATAAATCAGGCCCCTGACACCCACATCACATCACCCACACTGAAACTTCTAAAAGTCTTACATTTTCCATTCTCAATAAGTTGTTAAATGCTAGTAACAGCTTATCCTGTAGTAGGTTTCTTTTCACACAATTATAGAAAACAAAAAACATCTGAATATCAGAAAAATTTATCATAATTATTTAATGGTATAAATAAACTTTTTTCTTTGTCCGTGATAATATTTTAGCCACATAGAACTGCTTTTAATCTAATATAGACAATCAGGATTTTATTAAATACAAAAAGTGGGTGTACAAATATAATAAGATAAAAGATAATCCAGTAGTAATTAGAGGAAAATTCACTGAATTACTTTACTTTTTTATTATACAGCATATTCACATAAGAAAATCTATACTCTTTGATCATCTTTTAAATTGTTATATTGGTTGCAATAAGCAAAATAGTAGAAACAGTAATGATCATAGTTTATTAATAAAATGCTACATAAAATTTTAAGAACTTAACGCTAGTTATTTTTTTAATTTATGAGGAAAATGAGATAAAAATCGGTTTAGTTCAGTAGGTTCCATATCTTTTACACTTTTTTCTGGCATGAAATCTCTCACATTTTTTCCATGCATTTTTAATTCCTCTCTTTTTTCCTAAAAAAAATTAAAAATAGTTATATAAACTAATACAATTTTTATAAACAGAAGAACTGAAAAAAATATTATTGTAATTAAAGGACATTGATTTATTTATCAATTGTCAGGTTTGGCAACAGCAGTTCAGCATTTACCACTAGAAAAAAAAACATTGAAAAAATAAGTTAACATTTTGATTGTTTTACATTTTATGTTACTTTTAACGTAATTTAATCACTTATATTTGATGATTATATTTGATTATTCATATAAATTTTAATGCTTTCATTTTTATTTGCATAACATTCATAAGAAATAGGAGTTTCAGCATTGTGGATCAAATTGTTTAAATATATATACAGATTCATACTAATAGTTATACAATTAGAAATTTGTTCTATTCTATTCAAATTCTATAATCTAATCACCCTAATAGATTATACAGTTTAAAAATCAACCACTTGATTTATTTAAATTACTATTTACTTGATTTATTTAAATTACTATTTACTTGATTTAATTAAATTACTATTTACTTGATTTGACGCCCGGTGGCTGAGCGGTAGCGCTTCACGCTGTCGTGCAACAGGTCCCTGGTTCGATCCTCAGGCCGGGCAAGGTCGACTCAGCCTTTCATCCCTTCAGTGGATCGATAAATGAGTACCAAGCATGCTTGGTAACTAAACACTGGGGTTCCGCGTTCGGCTGACCACCTGACCGGAACATCTGCTCCTGCACCCCAGAGTCCAAGGTCAAGAAAACTGAGTTTAGTTTATTTACTTGATTTATTTAAATTAATATACTTCTCTATTAAAAAAGCCAACAAAACTAAAGGCTCATTGCAATAAGTATAAGTAAACTCAGACTGATTGAGTACAAATTTTAATTATCCTAAAATCATATTGACTAATTGTAATATGAATAAGCCTGAAAAACATCAGGCTAAATAGATAATACAAATCACTTTTCTCTTTAGCTTAGTGAATTGAAAAAGGACAGTAACATTTGCAAAGAACCAATTTATCAACTAACTAATGACATAAACTTCAAAGCTTTCTTTATTACTTAAAACAATTTGTTTATTAATGGAAAAAATAAACAAATAAATGAAGAACCGATATTCTATACAAAGGAAAGTATGAAGCACACTAAAACACAAATTCTATTTTAAGCCATTCCACTACATTTTGTAAAATAAATATCAAAATAAATTATTAAAACAGAATGTTATATTCATTCGTTACAGGTTAAGAAGGAAAAAAAAACATATATATAGAGATAAAATGCAAATACTGAAAAGCAAATTTATAAGAATATTTTACAAGATATAAATGTTTGAAAGAATAAATAGAATAAAAAAAACAAGGTTTAAAATCGATAAGTATAAAAGCAGCAGAAAGACTATAGTCGAACCCCTTGAAGTGAACTGCCTGCGGACCCAGTAATAAGTTCTTTATAAACAGTGGTGCAATATATCCATATTTTTTGAAGGAAAAAAATTTCAGCAAAAGACAATAGTATTGTTGGAAACAGTGATTATTAATTAAATAATTTAAGCACTAAAAATAAAAAAAAAACAATCAATTTTTACATTCTATGGAAGAAATTAGTGATTTTCAAACTACTACAATTAGATTTTAAGCAGAGTTGACTAATTTTTGTTCAAACAAATTAGTAAAGAAACTAGTATTTTCTAGCCCTCATGCAGGAGAAAAACAATTTAGAGACGATTGCATTTCCGAGATGAGTTGCCAAAATTTCTAGTTTTCAACATGGAGGGGATAAGAAGACGATTTGCTGCTTTACAACTTGTTAGCCCTAATTTGAAAGCAAAGAGCATAGAAGAAAAGGTTTGACAGGACAGTGCAAAGAAAAACAATCATTTCTAATCAGAAGTTCTGTTAAAGTTGGAGAAATGAAAAAAAAAAAAGAAGTAAAATTAGAGTTGACTATAAATGAACATTTAATTTTTCAGTTATCCTTTATTAGTGTATAAAATAACATTAGTTAAATGGGAGTTCAGAGGGGACTGTTAAAAAAGTTCACTACAACCGAGTGTTCAATATTCTTTCATATAGTGGTGCTCAACTGTAAAATTTATAACATTATCATACATTTATTTTATAATCTTCTTTTATAATATTTTTTTACTATTTAATGGAATATCTACCAATTTTTAAGAAATACCAAATAAAGTGCAGTTGGTTTCTTTATGAATCTCTCTCTCTTTTAATTAATTTAAAAAGAGAGTTCTAAATAACAATAAACTGAATATTTTAGAACAAAAAAAGTTTTGAACTGATTTCTATAAATGAGGTCCGCTTCATAATGTATTAGTAATACTTACTTAAATATACAAGCGATCAAGCAATAATCTGTACACAAAATCTATTTCAATAGGGATTTTTTTAGGATACTTACTTAATTGTAGAGAATTTTCCAATTTGTACAAAAACTATGAGAATTTTAATTTAACCAGTAAATCAGGAGAAACTGGAAAAATCCAGTAGAGTTGGCAGTTATATATATATATATATATACTTANCAACTATTAATGTCAATGAATAATCTATAATAAATTAGTAAATCATAACCTTGCTTTTACTTGAATTTTACATGATTAGAAGCGCTTCTAAAAGAAATCATTATAAATCACATTTCTTGGTTTTAATGATAAAGTAAAATGCATGTTAATATAAAAGCTAAAAAGACAACATTTTTAATTTAAAAGTAGTCAAATTTCAACACTTAAATAGTAAAAATATTACCATGAACTTATTAAAGCATTTTGTGACTTCTTCACCTTGAATACGACATACATCATGAGAATTGTCATTATCTTTCAAGCATGACAAAAAAGCAAAAGTTTCCTTCAAGCAAGGAGCCTCTATAATAATAAACACTTCATTAGTGGTCTTTTGTCTTTCCTAGGAATCACACAGGAATAAGTTTTTTGATCCTGAACAATGAACATGCATACCACTTTATTACTAATATAATTTTTCTGAATTATCTTATACAGTGAAACCTCCAGGTGAGACCACCTCCATTTATGACCACTTTTGGGAGGCATGGTATTTTTTCCGATGATTTTGCGTTGAAAAAAATCTTCAGGAGAGACCATCAAAACCTCTCACAGCGACCGGGAAAACCTCTGCACCAAATCCAGAAAATGTCAAACAAGGAAACACGAAAAAATATTAAAACAAGAAATATTAAGAAAACAAATAAGTAGATTAAAACATATTCAAAATATTTGTGTGAAATTCTTATTTAGAGAGCTCTTTCTGACGATCTCGGAAAGAAATCTACAACCTCGTGTTGCAGTTAGGGTGCACTAAAGACGATATTATCAATGATTTATTTTAGAGTGGAAAGTTAAATTAGAGAAGAAAAATTTATTTGAGAAAAAACTAAGCATCTCAGACAAGCAAACCTTCTTGCTACGCCCGTTAGCTTCTTGGTGTCATTGTTCTCAGCCAAGAGTCAGTTAATGTAAAACAACCAAAGAGTATACACACTCGTTTTTGTCCATCTCCGCAGCGCTACCAGCGCACCCACAAAATAAATGTGTACAGTCCACAATTGTCCAAGTTTGATTTTTATACACCTCGCAATCCACATCGCAGAATAAACCTCTTCTCATTTTTTAAAGCTAACTAACTTTTATAAATGCTAACTTAAATAAAAAAGAATGTAATTGTTTATTTTTTTAATAGTTTTATCATAATTGGCAAAAAAAAATTTTACACATAATTATATCAATATAAATAATTTTTATTTGTGCTAAATTTTATTCATTAATCCAGCTGTCATAACGCCAACACAAGTGGCATTTCCACAAAGAAAATGACACTAACTAAAATTAAAATGGATTGCGAAAAATCATGAACATTTTATAACATTTAGAAGTTAATGGAGGTAACTTCTGAGAATAACCAACCTCCATTAACGACCATTTACTTTGGAACAGAGAGTGGTGCTCTAGAGAGGTTTCACTGTATCTAAACATTTTGCATACAAAGTTAAAGTCTGTTATAAAGGCAATTTCATAATAGTACAGGAAATGATCATTACAGATCCTCCAGTGTTTGCCCTAAGAATTTTTTGAAGGGCGGCCCACCCTGCTTGCCCTTTGATCCCAATAAATATGCTCTTTCTGTAGACGTAAGCCAACATCCCTTAAAAACACTGCCTTTTTATTCAGATGCCATTTTGAAAAAGTTTATTCTTCGTTTTAAATAATTATTACACACTGGTAAAATTATCTCTGTATTTATAGGTTCAATTCTGGTTACTATTGCAAATATTTACTTTGTTAGGATTATTCTCAACTGGTTACATTTTTATAAGCACCTTTTTTCGGAGGCGGGGATATTAATAATTTTTTTATGATATTTTAAATTTTAAAACTAATTTTTTAAAGAAATTTGCCTTTTTTAAAAAAAAATATACATCTTTAAATGTTCATTTTCTAATAATTTTCAGTTTAAATTACAGAAAAAAGTTTTCAAGTTGTTTATCAATTAATCATTTTTTGGCAATTTTTTTTTTATTTATTTATTATTTTTTTTGAAGAAAAAAAATATGCACAGAGATTACTTACTTCTAGCATGCCTTTCATTATTTTCATAAACTACTAATTTTTCTCTTATTTTGATAATGAAAGAGAATTACCATTTGAAATATATTTATAAAATAGTATGAGAGGATAATTTAAAAATTGTTGGGCATAATATTCAGCTATTACATAATATTACACATGTTGATAAATATTTATGCTGTTAAGTGAGTGCCCTTTTCAGAGAGGATACATCCAGTCCTTTTTTATTCCTGGGAAGAACTCTGGGTTATAAAAAAATACCTATATATAATGTTAAAATAGCAGTAATTAAAAAATTCAATAATCAAATATGTCTCTTATGTCCTTAACACCTATTTTGATCTAAAATATATATCTGTGGTAGGCTGTCTTTTTCTACAGATTTTAAACTGAATTACGTAGCAAAGTACTTTACGAAAGGAAAAAATTTCTATAACAAGAACAACATAGACCTATATTCTTTCAAACTTGACAGCAATGCAAGTTCCTTTCAAGCAAGGAATCTCTATAATAATAAATTTATTTTTAGCAGCCTTTTTTTTTCTCTGTTGTCACGACCAGGACTAAATTTTTTGATCCTTGATAATGAATGTGCCCAGCACTGTATTACTAACATAATTATTTTAATTACCTAATAAACGTATATTTTGCATACACAGTAGAGTCTTGATAATCCAAATCTCGTCTGTTCGAGTTTCCCATAAATATGAGCTAAAAATCAGTCTTGCTCCCAAATACTGGCAAACGCACACACAACACTTGGAACGATTACTACAATTGATTTTAAGGCGATTACTACGACTGAATGTTGAAAAACCTGATTGAAAAGCGATATCGTGTGATAAACACTGAAACATGCGAATAGTGTGTTTAAACAAAAAACATTCGACAATTATTTTAAAGTACAAGTAATGTGATACAGTATTATAATTAATATTGTAACTTGGTTTAATGTAGTCAATGCACCCTGATCGTCTAATTTTAAAAATTGCTTTGCTTCCATTTATTTAAATATTTATTAGATTTTAAGCTTTCGATAATTCCAGTTTCTGAAAGTTTGAGATAGGCTGTCCCGTCCACTTCGAATTATCGAGACTCTACAGTAAAAATCCATTATAAAGGCAATTTATAATAGAAGATGAAATTATCGTTATAAGAAAATACACATATTTAATGTTAAAATAGCAGTAACTAAAAAATTTAATTTTCTTCTGTCTTTAACAACTATTCGAATTTAAAATACATGCCACATGTAGACTGTCTTTATCTACAGATTGTAAAATGACTTATATTGCACTTTACTGACTTATAGTGTACTTTAGGAAAAGCAGAAATGTCTACAAAAGGAATGTTTGAATGACAAGTTTCCAAATTTTTATAAGTTTTTGTGAGAAAAAAAATTAACTTAAGTATCTTCTAATATAATTGATAACAATGAATGTTGACTTTAATAGTAAGTTGTCGAAAAGGGAAATAAGGATCTAGAAATGGTCAACAAAAGACACATTCTTCATAGTGCATGACAGGATTTCTGAACATAATGTTATAAAGATAACTTCGCAAGTGGTCAGTCACACAATGTTTTATAAAAATAAGGAGTTAAATTGTAGGAATTTTTTTTTCCTTTTCCAATTTTCTGTATTTATACCAGAAATATATAAAAATGCCTTCAAAAATTTTTTATATGTTATTGTACACTTAAATAGCAGAAAATGTATTTCTTTAAAAAAAATTTGTGTCAAAAGCAAAATGCTAATCATTTTTAATAAAGTAAAGTACTATTTTTTCTAAGATTTTTAACATAAAGATTTAATTGTGTTTATATTTTTCAATCTTAAAATGGAATGTTAATTTTTATTATTAACTGTTATGATCAATGTGACCTGCATTTAAAACTTTATGGAATAAAAAATTATTCTAGAAGTTTTCATAAATAATATATTTATTTCAATATTTTGTCAATTAATTTAAAACAAAGTAATTAAAATTTATTGCTGATATGTCTTCGGGTAAATCACATCTTAACTAAAAAATTGAGCAGAATATGCTTTCTGAACTGAACATGCCTTCCAAAGTCAAATTCTGCTTACAACCCTGAAACAAAACAGTTGCTTCATGCCCAAAACATAAATAGTGGAAGAGCAAAAATATTTCATTATTATACATAATCTGCTAACACAAAGAGCCTTATTATTAAACATTATAAATTATTTACATAACAAAATATATGAATTAGAATTTCAAATGCATTTCTAATACTTTTAACAAAACATAATAACTGAAACTGAGGAATACAAAAGCCAAGTAATTTAGAGAACCGTTCTAACACTTTCCTCAAGAATTTAATATTCAAAGTACTGTGATATTTATTGGTAAATACTTATAATTTTAGGGTTGCAAATGATTAATAAAGAAAAAGTATTCTCAGAAATTTATCCATTTGAACATTTGTTAAAGTTTAGAGTGAAATAGCAGTGCAATAAGATGTCCTAAATATAAAAGGATGTGCACATTATAATATTTTCAAACATATAACATAGATATAAAACATAACTTCCATTACATAAAATTATCAATTAAGATAACACCATTCAAGAAAAAATTTAAAATTATTACCAGAGCTTTTACCACCCTTTGTTGAGACTTGATTATCTAATGACATAGGCCAGGCCTCTCTAAATTTGATTTTTCTTAGACTTTGAGGACGTCGACCAGTTTTTGGTAAGACATACCATCTTGGTAATGACATGGTATATAACTACCCTAAAAGTAATAAATTAAAAACAACACACACGTAAGCTAACATTATGACAAACATATTTAAAAATAAACATGGCAAGAAAGGAAAATGAATATACAATGATTAAATTTTAAAATATACAATACATTTCGGACTATTCAACATTCAATTAATAAATTCATTTAAAGCTTCATTAAAAAATTTCAAACAAAAGTTACTTTTAAAAGAATGGATTATTAGTGAATAAAAATTCATTTCAACCAAATTCTGAAAAAATCACTTATTTATTTACTTTCTGAATTTAAAAAATACTCATTGCTTTAAAATGACTGAATTTAAGTTTTGAGCTACATATTAATAATCAGTAAGATTTTCAATGATTGAAAATATTACATTCACATTATTTTATTTTGATTTTAAAGAATAACAACTGCTGGTAATAATTCCATATTGGTACCTTCTTGTGCCAAATACAATCACTTAGACGCGAAAGGGTTATTTTATCTTTGTCATTTTAAATAAAATATGTAGAGGTTTGCCCAAGGGTGGCTAGGAGTTAAAATTTCAAATTGGTCCTCTTCTGTGATTTTTTTATTTTATTATTAATAATTTCTCGCATGCCCGGGCAGTGACAAAACTTGGCAATTATTTTTATGCAGATAACGGTACAGAAATCTTCCTCTACTGCTTTTCAATTACTAACTGACATTTTAATGTGAATGTGAGTCAGTGATCTTTCAAATGGTGTTTGCTACTCTGGGATTAAAAAAATGTTGTTAGACAATTTGTAGCAACTAGAACATCAATCAGCAAATAAATTAGCATTTAACAAAATTAGTTATATATATATACATAACATAAAAAGCTTCAATTAATCTTTTTATGTTATAATTAATTATTCTAA